GTTTGATTTTTACATCTTTTCCTTGAAAAAGATATCCTTAACACTAAAATAGGAATCCTGAGCTTTATCCCAATTTGATTTTAGGAATATATCAGAAAAGAGGAAAACAAAGCACGCTCTGCTTTGTTTGAAACCTTTGAACGTCATTTTTTTTCTTTTTTTCTTTTTTTTTTTGCTCTTTTTTTCAAGAGTATTTCAAGCTTCCGTGACTTAGATGACATTGTGGTTTAAGTGCACCAAGAGATGATAAGTGATCTTGTAATTGCCATGTGCAAAACACATCATAAAACTCCGACCACCAAACAGCTGTCAGCTCCACTTGTTAACGTTACCCCTGAATCCATGTCCTATCTCTAAAGAGTTTTCGGCCGTTTTTCTCATTCGCTATTTACCCTATTTATTCCCGCTGAGCCCCTTTCCCTCCCCACATAGGAGTTGACTGAGACCAAGTTTGCCTTCCATCTGGCTCCCAGCTTACTAACATACAGCTGATCAGACCCAGCTTTGTAGACAAGTCTATTCAAAAGAAGAATTTCGTTGTAAGTCAGAGCTGCACGGCCGTACCAGTAAATTGAACTCTTTCAGGAAATTCATGCAGATTATGTTAAAAATTTTCCAAAAAGGCCTGTTAAATTTTAATTTTTAAATTAGCTAGGTCATTTCAGATCTCTTGCAAGCACCATAGCTGTGCTTAACAAAGATTTAAAGCTCCTTATCTCAGTTCAGAGAAATCTGAGTGCGTCAATTCTCCTACACAAACCAGAAAGCACTTTTTTCTTTTTGCATTTCATTGCGTAGATCAGTACGTTTTTGAAGGAGACCCCACTCACCGATTTAGCATGCACCTTCTATCATCTTAAAAATTTGTACTAAAGACTCTTCTCCAATAAATTGTTAATGGAAAATTGTATGCTCTGAACGTTCTTCAATTTTATAAACTGTTCTAGATCTTACACATCTTGCTTCAATTTTAATTTTTACATTTTAATGAAAATGCTCCCTGAAGCGTGTAACTTTTGTGACATCACGATTTTATTCAATGTTTCATTTTAATTTTGCTCATATTTCAAAATGAAAGGAAGATGTCCAACTGATTTTACGGAACTGTTTCAGCTTATTGTGAAGAGGATAGAAAATAAAAATAACTGCCCAAAATTTCCGGTTTTTTTTGTACTATGTTTGAGAGCTTTTCGTTGATTCAATGTACTAAACGCTTTTTTTAGCTACAATCGTTGATGCTAGATTGTCAGAAGTGAAAAAAGGTGGGACATAAAGACTGTTGAATTACATCCACATGACTCTAGGTGTGATTTATACCAGTTCAGCATTTGTTACTTTAGGTAACTAATGGCTGTTATACGACGGGTAATTGTGGCAATAAAAACACTTTATTTTTCCTAATGCGTTGTTGAATTGATATTAAAGTGCCAGATAACCGCCAGAAAATGTAAATAAACAAAACGTTTTGAATATGCACCATGCTGGTTTAATGCGTACGTAATATATTTAGCTCAAAATGAGATAAATTTATTGAGAGAACATTAAACTCTGCTGGAACCAGACCAACGCAGGGAAAGGAACCCGTGCGTCAAATGCGTTATTTTGTGGCGAAACAAAGCTTTTGTTTCTTCTGTGGCCTGGGTCAGCCGATACGCACTTCAAAAATAATGAAAGTCAATTTGAAGTCGATCTTGTCTTCTTGAAAAACCACGGGAATCATGGTTTTAACCATCGACAATGGCTTTTTTTTGTAGGATTATGATAAATTTTTCATCGAAGTGATCTTATTAGATAAAGATGATCGGAAAGAACTTCAGAGAAATCGTTGCAATACCGCTAACTACGAATTTAAATCACTCCTTTAGCCTGAACAAAAATATTCCGTGGGAAACTCATAAAGGTGTGCTGTTCTGTCGGAGAATCGCAATTTTCTTTTGACAAAGAATTCTGCTCAATTTCGAACAGAACAGATACAGAATAAAATTTAGTCCTTTTTTATTTTAAATTTTTCTCGATGTGAGGAATATCTTAATGAATTTCATCCGGCTGACTACTGCAGCCTGAAAAATTAAAGCGCCCGTCCAGGTATCCCAAATTTGACCAGTTTTTATGTTTTTCAAAATTTGTTCGTATTGTGCACTTAAACGAGTGAAGAAATGTGCCTCTGTATGATCACACGAAAATTTGCCGATAACGTTAGATTGAACTTCGGAGAACACTCACCGAGTTTCAAGCACACTTCACTCGTGTAAAATGAACTGCCTCTAAACCGAGGCAGTAACGGATAGATCAACTTGTATGTAGTACTCATTTTAATTTGAATTTTATAGTTCCTTTGTCTTTTAAGAGAAAACTTACTTGAAAGCATCAAAACAAGTTGGTTTTCCTGATTTAAGTTCAAGTTTTCATTGACGTCGTTGAGTTTTGACCTCAAAAACTAGACTGCTTCTGTCCCTACTCTATCAAAAAAGTCCTAAGAGGCATCTCAAAAAATTCAACAGAATATACATTTTTGCCAGAAATAAATTAATTTCTTACCTTGCTGTTTGATGTTTAGAAGAGGACTTTTAAAAGGTAATTCACCGAGATATTAGCCGAGGTGGTTCCAGAACAATGATTCGATGTGCGACTGGATAAATTTAAGTAAACATGTGCTTTTAATCTGTGGTGTGTCTCGTTTTGTTACTAGTCGGTGCTTTTAAAAACCATTCTATGCTCTGATCGCTTGGCAATTGGTCAACATTCATTGAGATAATAAATTATTTTCAATTTCTGGGCGCTGAGATGATATACCAAAACACAAACAACAGATGTTCAGTTTGAATTACATCCAATTTAAAGAAAACCTTTCAGAACTGAAAAACAAAAGGTATACACCATTTTGTACTATGATGTTACTACCCACGAGAAACGAAAAATTCACAAATTTTAAATTGGTCAATAAGTGATTCAATGATAATACTAATTTCCGCAGAAGTTTTGCTCGCAATTACAAGGTGTAATGAACTTCTAAATGAGGCACTAGATGATTCCTAATTGTACTCTGTCGCTCTTTAACAAGATCAAATAAAAGCGTGCGGCTTGTCATTTAGCACGACTAGGTTTTTATAACCTTACAGATGAAAAGAAGCCCTTCTTTCTGAGGATTAATTTGCCAAGTAGTCAGATGCGATAAAAACGGATTATCCCAACAGTTATTGGCTTAATTTCGACGGGCAGGAAAAGGCATATTAAAATAACCGCAATAAATCAATTGCTAGTGATATGAAAAAGACCTTTTTCATGAGTGAGTGACGGAAACACGTGATAACAACAAATCGTTCGCGCACCACCCATTATTTACCATGGGGTTCTTCCTGAACAAATTGAGGAAGCATTGAAACAAAAAAAAATTTGAAGAGCTTTTTACCCTAAGAGGCGCTTTTGACTGAAGAAAACTAACCAACTTATTTGCCAAACCCAGTACTGAACGTCAGAAATAAGACGTTCATGTTGAATTTGCAAATATTTATTGTCAGCCTCATAAATCCTGCAAAGGTACAAGGTTCAGAAGCTATTCTGCGTCAAAAGGATAGAAATAAATTTACTTTTTGTATTTTCCTTTCGTAAAGCTGGAAGCAAAACAACAGTTATGAACATTATTCGCGCTTCCGCAGCAAACCTTTTTTTAATTATTTTGCGTGTTTGTTTGGTTTTTTCAAACTGGCTTGCTCGTTTGAAGTGGCCTTCTTAACTGAAAGTGTAAAGGCGAAAAATCTGCCGGAGTTCTGCATTTCATCCCGAAATTTCATATGCAAACATCTGTGACATCATACCTACCAAATGACATGAAAAGATCTCATGGAAAACAGACGGACAAATCTCTGCTCAGAGGTTAATCTTTATTTCTGTTTGGTTGTAACCTTCAGGGAGTATACTTGTTTCGCGAACAATTTTATTACCTTCCGTGTTTTTGGCGCACTGAGGAAGGAAAATTCGTTGTCGGACTGATAACAGCATGCGGCCTCAAATCCGCCCCTCGCCTACCATTTGGATTATGAGGTCAAACAAAATTCAAACATTTTCCAATTTCTAGCTGAAGGGTGTATTTCTTTTCAGTGGTTTCCGATGAAATGCTTAGCACACTAAATCAACAAATTTGAGAGAAACTAAAAGACTAATTTGAGCTCAATAACTGCTGCTAGTTGCGTTCGCTCCTCTGGAAAAAAGCGTGGGTTCCTTTCCCGCAACAGCGGAGTCTCCGAGTAGACGTGGGTTATGTGACTCACATTCGACGGCTCTGAACGGTGGATTTCTTTGAATGAGCCCACGGTGGTATGCGGTGGAAATGTTGCCAAATTGTATGACGTAAGCGGGGGAGGTTTATTACACCTTTAAGGGCAGAAAAAAATAAAATGGGAGAACTTCGGGTCGAGTGAAACGAAATTTTCCAAAAAATGGTTTTTTCACGGTTTAATTAGGAGAACAGAACTACAAAAACGATGATAAGTTAGTATCCGTGCAAGTGAGGTGATCGTATAATAAATAATTGATTACCCTTAATTATCCTTTATTTCTCCTTCCTGCGAAATAATCTTAACAGTTCAGTCCTTTCAAAGCGGAGGCCATATAGTTAACGCATAAAGCTTTAATAATGTTTCTACGCTCCATCTGAGCTGTTCGCGACAAATTTTGAGTCCTTCGATACAGGAGGACGTTGAGATGTTTAATAACCGCTGTGTTAACCATAAAAGATAATTAATATTTTCAATTATAGATAACAATATTCAGGTACCCTGTATCTAGGGACAAACTCCGATATAAAAAAGTGTGTATGTTTTACGTTATATGTGTGTTTCGCCCGAGACTACAAATATCTATTAAAAACAGACTAAACTCTAAAATAACGAAGGGAAACACATGAGATTAACTCACATCGCCAAATGCATGCGCAGATCAAATAAGAACGCTGAAACTTACAACTATTTTGCATACGAAAACAATGTTCGATTGAGGATCGTTCACGAGAGAACAGAGTATTTGTATTTACTGAAAACATCGTCTTCCGAACGAAAGAAGTCGATCGCCAAGAAAGATAGAAACGTCAATACAAAATGAGCTGGTGGAACAACAGCAAAGGCCGAGATCCACCACATTCCCACTGCTGATCCAGCAAACGTGACGGGCTGCAGTAACAGAAGCACCAAAAATATTGTAGACCAATCTCGGTCCGTCTTCTTTTTCTGCCCTTGCGGTGTATCCCAGACATCGAGTAGCATTGGTGACAAAATAGTCGCCCAGACGGACAAAACAGCTCCCAGGCCGTAAATAACAGACAGCGTGATAAGCCAGTCTTCACCGAGAACGATGTCTTTCCCCATGTTGCTGATATCTTTCCGAGAAATTCTCCCAAATTATTTGCAAATCCAAGTGAATGAGCCTCGTTCGTCTTGTCTATGTTCAGCGAGTTTCTTAGATATTAAGAAATGGTTTCTCTACTGTTCTATGCGTCGTAAATCAAGCGAAGTTCTAGTTATTGAGGACAGAAGTTTAGTTGAAAACTTTCGGTCTGGCGAAGATCTCAAAGTTTGCTCATTAAATATACATATGGATTGTTTGAAGAAACCAAGAAAACTGAAAGGAAACGTCTAATTTGAATTTCAAAACAGGTTAAAACACCTGCTGCAAATATTAACAAAGGATCGAATTCGCTCTTCATGTTTTAATGAAACTTGAGCGCAGTGGAAGAAGTAACTCGTCCGGCGGCTGTCTCAATGAAACGACCAAATTAAATGATGTACAAACTCGACATGTAACATGAACAACAATAAGATACAACGAAAGCATGAACTCATGGCTCTTGAAGAAACGCTAAAATACCCAAATAAATTTGTTGGAAGATAACTTAAACAATGACAACCTGATAGGGGTTAGGAGGTTTCAACCAATAGCGGGAAAGGTAACTAATTCCTTGTTCAACTTGGGCTTCCAAAACGACAGCTCCTCCAAGTTTAGAGACTGTGGGATATCAAACACTTCTTTTCCTTGAAAAGGAAGTATAGTGATCTTTTCTTTTTGAGAAAGGGTTACAAAACGTTTCAAATGCTTTTTTTTCACATTACATGTTAATGTGATGCTACATAGCCTACAGAAATATTGAAATGTTTGGATTGTATTTCCTCGTCAAAGGAAAAGTCAAATTAAATAAAAACTATTCAAAAATGCAGCTTCTGAAAACACAACACTAAAAAAAAAATTAACTTTTTAACCCTTTAATCCACAAAAGTGACTGGCTTCTACTTTCTCCTTACGGTAGCAGCCTCCTTGTATCAAATGTAAAGTTCACCAGAATATAAGAAATGATGACCACTTTAAGAAGCTCCTGATTGTCAAACAAATTCTCCTTGTCAGTATCATAGAAAATGTGGAGAAAACAGTGTGGAAAATGTGAATACCAATCTTAAGTTTAAAATGGTTGAGCAAAATAAGGCGGTTCGTCAGGGAGAAGGGGTAACGGTTCGTTTTCCTTTTTTTTAAAAGCTCTATCACCTTTAACTGTTATCGTTGTTGTTATTATTTTGTTTTCACTTGTTTTTACAATTTTGAAAACGAACGAAACCTTCCCTTCGTGTTCACTAAAAAATACATGCCAACATTTTCGTGCCCTGAAAAAAAAAGCCATGAAATCCAATTTGGCAGGGGCAATACTTTTCTAAATGTATTTATTTAAAGATGGTAAAATCTATTTTAGACAACGAAAAAAAATTTCACGCCCAAAGGAGAACATATGCTTGAAGGACGTGGTGCATTAGAAAAGCTGCAAAAGAAGAACAGTCAAAATATACGATTAATCCTTTAGCTTCCAGAAATGATCAAAACATAAACTCTCCTCACAATTTCAATACATATTATGGCAAACAAGTGATGAGAAAAGACAACTGTATCATCTACAGGGGTGCTTTGTGGATGTATTACCAAATTCTCCTCACTAAAATACCAGAAAATGTGCAGTAATTGGAAGGGGAAAATACTAGTCAGATCTTACTTGTTACTGGGTTAATGAAGGGGAAAAAAAAGGGATCCTACACCAACGTCCAAGACAACAAGACAGACATCCAGACACCCCTCACTCTGAACTGCACCTAGGTTATCATAGACAAGGTCATACCACTACTTACGAGAAACCACAAGCGAAAAGAAGACACATTTCCAGTTTAATCCGAGTTTCAAATACTTGAAGAAGCTATTAAAAAAAAAAAGCGTTAACTAACCGCTCCACGAATATCTTGTGGCGCCCATGGCTCTTCATCTTCAATATCCTCCTTGAAAGATAAGGAAGGAAAACTTATTAATTTGTCCAATTGAGAAAAGATAACCAAATGCTCCTACTGATATGCCTGAGTGAGGAAGATTTATGCTCCGGAAACCAGGGATAAGCCATACGCAGCTTAGCGTGTCATTCTCGTACGCAAACTTAATAAGCTTTTCACCATCACGAGTCACTTTTTAAAATACTTGGCAAACAACAAGTACCTCTTCTAAACTGACTCCACCGTTTGTTTCCTCGGCCTCATCTCCACTGTCATGTTCCATTTCTCCCCCGTTTGCTCTTTCGACATTTTGCATTCCTTCTATCGCTTTACTATCCCCGGGATTCATGCTACAAACATCAACAAAAAAAAAAAACAATATTATAAGTTTGTTTGAATAAAACGTTTTGTTAGAAAAGTTTGAGTGATTACCCTTTGTTAGTGATGTGTTTTTAACCATAGACACGTTAAAATAAAAAGAAAAACTCCTGATTAGCATCCACAGTAAAGGTTCTTGTATATCCTTGAATTCCAACAATTAAATTCTGACTCTGAAGACTGTTGTGTTGTTCGTTATTAATTCACCAGTCTCCTGTAAGAACAGTTACCATTACTGATGAAATAGGGAGCTTAAACACAGACGTTTTTGAGACGCAGACAACAGCCGGAAGTCAGGAGCTCTTTTTTTCTAGCGATTAAGACAAATTTTTTTCCGAAGCGCTTGGTATAAAATGTTACAACAAGGACATTTTAGTTGATTGTTTGATGTCAGCGCCCGCAAGAAGCAAAAACAGTCTTCTCTCAGTCTACTTCTGCATCTCAATAATGTCTCCGCTTCAGCTTCCCTACGGGACTCATTTCACCTCAATGCCTGTGTGTATTGGTCCAGTGCCTCCTGATAATTATTTGTCAGAGCTAAATAATCTCCCAACAGCTGGTGCAGTCGCGCTGTACGGTCGTGACTCATGTGTTTACGTAAACTGGAAAATAACCGAAACCCTTGATTAGGAACCCAGCCAAAGAGGTGGCGTTTACAAAAAACACTAATAAAAGATTTTTCCTTGCGAGTGGCCTTGTGTGTAAGAGTACAAACCACACTAAATCACTGTCGATTTGTTAAGTTGGCTGCTGTTGCTGCTGGTGTTAAAATAGGTCACCTCCAGGCAACATTGTTTTTTTTTTTTTTTTTTTGGGGGGGGGAACTTTCAAGAAACTTTTTAGACATAAATTATAAGATTTCTGGTTATAATGTTAGGTGGGGGGTTGTCGACTACCTACTGAGGAGAGGCGTGCCAACTATTTTTGCCACTCACTGTACATGTAGGTTGGAGAGTTACTGGAGTCACAGTATACTGACTCTTGCCACGTGAGTTTCTAACCTTCTCCACCCAGACTTTTGCACAGTTCGAGGGTACAACTTCTTTCAAAAAGACTTTCCATCTCGATAAGTTAGGAGATCGATCACCTCTTAGAATGAGTAGGTCATCAATGCAAACTTACAGAGCAATAGCCTTGTCGTATTCCTGCTTCTTGCCCATGATTTCCGCCAACAGACATACAGCATCTGTATAAGTATCGTCTTGAGCCAAACTTTTTTCCAGCATACTTGTGGCCTTGTATAAGCGCATTCAAATCGTTAGGACTTCATAAAGTACCCGAAAAGGTTTGATTCTTTTTACTGAATGATCACAAGTAATCCGTGCAAAAAATTCTTATGGATTTGAGATCTCAGTGTTGTTCGAGTTTGGCCCACAAGTTGAATCTCTGGAATTCCACGTTTGGAAATTCTTGGCAAGGGCTGTTCTTCGTCTGATGTCAAAGGGTAACTTAAGTATCATTTAAAATTTTGATAGATACAATTTACGTAGTATCATGGTCAGTTATTACGGGGAAGAAGGTTTAGTGAATAGTTTTTCCGTACAATTTTACTTACTTTATCGTATTGAGACGGTTCATGAGCCATAACTGAAGCATAAAGCTACGAAAGAAATTTAAAAAATGAATAGCAATTAGAAGGAAGATTTGTAGTACCAATCAGAACTCTGGAGCTCACGGTTCACCATAGAAAATTATCTTACAGTTAACGTCCGTGGATTGGCTCCTAAAGTCTTGTGGGCGTTCTTTGCCACGGCTAAGGCTTCCTTATGTCGTTTTGCAGACATGTAACACTCAACAAGACCTAATTGGTGAAAGAAAAAGAGCGTTTTTCGAGTGAGTGTCGTTAAACAGCTCTTTTAAGTCTTCGTTGATGATCAGCTTTACTTCTGCAGCAATACCGACCAAGACAAGAGCCATCCTATCTTATTATCTATAGTTAGGAACACGTATCCATTCTCAGTCTAAGGTCATTGATTTATAAATTTGGAGATAAGAAAAGTGCTGAAGCGATCGGTCTTCCGTCTACTCTCTTGTACCATTCTTTTCTAACTGAACACATAGCATACTGCATTTCCTCGAATATGCGCCAACGCTCTTATATGCGCCCTCCTCCGAATAAGCACCCAACCCCTAGGCCATAATTTCACCCTCCTCCCCCCCTCGAATAACCGCGCCCCCCTCCCCCCTCACTTTCTTAAATAGTAGGGATACAAGGAAAACCTGTTTCTATTGCTACAAATTTATAACTTTTTAAGCTTTAACTACAGCGGAATCAGTAGAGAAGAATACTCTCTTTAACGTTCCGGTTATTTCTATCTCTACGTGCTTGCAGAGTTCTCTCTGTGTGTTATCGGTTCTTTTGATTTTCTTCTTGTTACAGTGCAATCTTAATAGGCGCTCTTTTTATTAAGCGTCCTCCTCCAAATAAACGCACTCCCCACCCAACTTTTAGCCGAAATTTTATATAAGCACCTGAGCGTTTACTCGAGGAAATACGATGTACCCTTAAACACGAGAAGTATCTCGCCATATCTCTACTTCAGAGCTTCAACGGTAGGAAACTATGGAGAGAAATACCTTTCTGTGCTTCAAAGTTCCACGGAGCCAGCTTCACTGCCTCGCGGAAATGCAGCAGGGACTCCTGTTGCTTCTCCAACGCTTGTAATAAACTCGCTGAAAACATTGCAAGAAATATCAGAACGGCTGGTGTATAAGCAACTTGAAATATGCTTTAAACAATGACAAACAAAAAATGCATGTAAGTTCAACTCCAGACACGAATATAGGAATTAGTGAGTCTTTCAATGACGCGAAATTGTCTACAGATACGATCACGCTAATGTTAATGTTCGCGACAACAGTGGTACACTCCGCTGCACCTCGTGTGCCCCTTTTTCATCTTACCACATTTTAACGTCATCTGTGATCTACAAGTGAACAGACGCCTGACAACATGAAATCTCTTTTTCACATAGAAATCCTACGTTTCCAGTTATCCGTACCTTTCAAAACAAGTGCTTGTACATTACGACTGTCGATAGTGTGAGCCTAAAAGTTACAAGCATAGAATTAAAAATCAAAAGCAATAAGCGTAGGGTTATTGTTTACTGAAGTCAGCAAAAAACCAATCACTGAGATGCTGCTAACCTTCTCTGCAAAGTAGACAGTTCTGGGCTCTCGGTTTGTAGCATTGCAAAAATGGCCCATTGCAATCCATGGCTCTGGTTTAAGTTGTGTCACTTGAATCAAGTCTTTAGCTAACCTGGAAGGAAAAAAAAAACAAATACACAGGTCTCTTTAAACACAATCATGTCTAATAATAATAATAATAATACCAATAATAATAAAAAAATCTATATAGCATCTTGTCCTAGTGGTCCAAAAACGTTTCACAGGAGGGAAATTATAAATATTATTTATAAAAAGTACAACAACAATGAAAATTCAACGTTCTACGTAAGCCGGTAAAAATAAATGTTCTTTAAGTTTCCGTATAAAAGTTTCAACTAATTGCAAGTCTCTTAATGACTGTGGGAGGGAGTTCCACAACACCGCTGAAGCCAAGGCAAACAGCCGACCACCATAAGACTCGAGATTGTACACAGGTATCTTCAAAAGGTTTTTGTCTTTTTATTTTCCTAAGGTTGGTCTTCATGTTCATGATAACTTGCCCGTTCTTTCCACAAAAAAAAGAAGAAAGAAAAACTGTGCATGAAAAGCCACATTAACCCTCAAACCCCTAGGAGTGATCAGCAGCTAAGTTCTCACCTGAATCAAACATTGAGTACAAATAAAATAAATATGAGAAAAGATCACAAACTCAAGTAGCCCTAGATTGTTGGACAAATTCTCCTTGCAAGTGCCATAGGAAATTTATAGAGAACAGTTCGGAGAACTTGTACACTGATTTAGGGTATAAAAGGTTTAGATCAAAATTTGTCAACCTTAGTGAAAGAATGATATAATTTGTTTATCACCCAAATACATCAACTGTGTCACAGTGCAAATTGACATTCATAACACCACTTGGTCCCAGATTATAAACATAAGAAACATAATTTGGTTTCATCAACTGAGTTGTTAAAGTAAATTGACTGCTGTAAAGAGTTTTTGATTAAAAGTGGTTGCCAATTTACATTATCCACTCAGTTGATAAACCATATTATCTCATAATATCCCCTACTGACACAGCACTACAAACTTACTGCCTTTATTCATCAGAAACATTACGCTGAGTTGCAATACATACACTTTTGGAACCCTCCATTGTATATTTCTCTTACATATACATTTAAAGGTTTCAGTTTACATGAAAAGCAATAATTCATTTAGTACGTACTTCTCCAGCCTGTCACTGTCACTGCATCCACTATGTGACAGCAAAAATGCATAAATGTCCATACCTTGGACAGTAAATGGGTCCAGTGAATGAGCCTATATTTGACAAAAATGAGAACAATTTCATCAGAGAGGGATGGGGAGGGAAGAGGTGGGAAGAAAAGGGAAGGAGAGGGATGGGGAGAGAAGGGGGGGAGGAAAAGGGAAGGAGAGGGATGGGGAGAGAAGGGGGAGGAAAAGAGGGGGGATGGGAAGAAAAAGAAAAAGGGAAAGGGATTGGGAGAGAAGGGGGGGAGGAAAAGGGAAGGAGAGGGATGGGGAGAGAAGAGGTGGGAAGAAAAGGGAAGGAAAGGGATTGGGAGAGAGGGGAGGAGGAAAGATTCAGTTCTAGTCCAAAATAAACAAAAAATAAAACAAAATAAAAGCAACAACCCACAAGCACATGGGATAAGTGCTTGATCAAGGAAGAAAGCTGGCTGCAAGATCAGATGAATTGACTGAGAGTTATAATGAACATTTGCTGATCAGCCTCCTGCTTCACCATCTGTTGCCAAAAAAAACCTATTAACAAAATATTAGGTTCAAAACTCAATAAAGACAGGAAATCTTTAGGAAGAGAATCCAAGAAGACAGGATTAGGTCAAACTCAATCCAGGGCTTCTGTCCAGTCATTGAGGGCAAGCACACTTTCTCGTTATGTTTACATTCCAACAAACGAGCTGGATTTCAGATGTTTTTTCTTGCCCAGCAAGAGTAAAACATTTCTAACAACATAACAATACTACTTTGTCAAAGACTATACACCTGCAGCTCATATGATTTGTCTGTTATGATTGGATTCCAATTAGTAAATTACCAGTTGCTTCTGGAACAATTTACCCTGACGTACATGTACAATGCAAACATTATGTCTGAGTTACCCTTTGGAAGAAAGACTTTGCATTTTTGTAATCTCCAGCATTGTAAAACATCTCTGCAGCATTACAAAGTAATTCCACATTATCACGCAAACTCTATAACAAAAAAAAAATTAAAAAATACATCAACATCCTTAAAATTAAAAATTAAGGGCACATTTGTGTTACAAATAAAAATTAAAAAATTTCCACCAGTTGTTCACCTGTGTTTCCAAGCTCTTCAGTGCTTGAGCCCCCTCTGGAGAGAAGAAACTTGGTTATGATTTAATTCTTTTTTAAGTTAACAATTAAATACAGCATTGGCAAATTCCTTTATTTGGCAAAGAAATCTCTAAAAGATAATTGCAAGTAAAACTCCCCACCAAGGGTATGTGACTTGGTTTGTGCCTCTGACTGAGACATGCGAGTATCAAGGAGCACTCTGTAATTGAGTTTGTAAAATTTAAATGTAAGTAACTAGAATGCCCAATCAGAACAAAGGAAAATATCACAAAGAGCCAGAGAAAATTCAAAAGAAAAAAAGGAAATTTCCTGATGTAAAAATAGGCCTCCTGTTCATAAAAACAAAAATTTCCTTCATGAAACCACAAGTTTGGAAGGAAACTGTGATCATTAAAAGCAAAGCAAAGACACTGTCTGTCAAGGCACAAAAATTGACAACCATTGCCAATAAGCTCACTTGCATGCTTCCCTGATGCTGCTAACACTTGTGCCTTTATCCATGAACCCAGCCTGATGAGCACAAATAAAGATTTGAAGATACTGTTCAGAGCCATGATAGAACCCTTTCTTTATTAACCCTTAAACTCCCAAGATCTCATCAGTAATTCTCCTTACTGTCTGCCTTACAGTTCTTGTGATGTTAGTTGGGAGAATTTGGTATTGGATCAGCTAAAAATCCCTCAATTTATATTTTTCTTTATTCTCATCACTTGTTTGCTTGATATTGTATTAATATTGTAAGGAGAAATTCTGTCTTGGTCACTCATAGGAGTTAAAGGGTTAATTTACAAATAACTGGTAACTTAACAAACTCCACACCTCTTCATCAAACCAAGAACAACAAAGAACTAATTTCAAACAAATGTTTTACCAGTCCATTCCTGGAGTTGATGAGGCAGTAAGCGAAGTTACTTCAGAGCCAGGAACACCCAACGACAACAAGCCAATCACAGCATCAAGAGCTAGAGGACACACCCTTAAATTTACAACACATGGCAATCAGTATCATTCTAAAAGGTCAGTGGTGTCTCACCAGTTAAACTCTGATGGCTGCTTCCTTGGCAATTTTTGGTGGATTAGTACAAGTTTAAGATTTTGGGTTCAAGTTACATGTATTTTATCCAAATTTATTGACTCAGAGGTTTCTTTTGACAGAGAGTGGGGTGGAACATACAGCACTTTTGTATTTTAATGCAAACCTCCATATCCATGGCATTCAAACTCAACAAAAAAAGGGAGTACTTTAAAGAAAATCTACCTCAAAACTTCCTTGTAACATGAAATAGCAGACCTGTAGAACAAACTCAAAATTAATTTCATCTTGGTTTTATAAAAAGAGGTACAGTATAGGAATGTGGTTACAAATTCAATTGTTCTAAGGCACTAATATTCCTTCCCATAGTAGTCAAAAGAGGCTCACCACTCAACCCCCCCTGGAAATATATTGATCAAATTGTCCCAGCTAGTAATTCAAATCATACTCTTCAAATTCTCAGAAATGATCAAATGAAACATCTAAAAAGTGTTTCTGTTCACACTATGACCACCATGTCTGGATGCAATCCAGATGACCTGTGAATAGTACCTCTCCATGCCTTGTCTTTGATATAGTTTAGCCAGAGACATATTTATCTTTGGTGATCTTTGTTTCTGGGATATCCCTTCCAGCTGTTGAAAAAACAGCAAAATGTTTCATTAGTTATGACAATACAAAGTCAAACTGTTTCCAAAATAGCTGGTTAAACTTCAGTGCAAAGAGGCTACTGCAATCTTGGTACATCATCTTGCCCAGAGACATAATCCAAAGATCCCACCATTGATTTTTCACCCCAAAGGAATACAGCTTTACAGTACATACTATTGTTGTTGCTTCTTTGTGTTCCTTGAGACGTAAATAACACTGTGACATTTTGTATTTTACTTCAACCTCTGACAACAAACCCTAAAAATTAAAAGCAAACAGAACTGCCAAATCATACAATTGTCAGCCGATGTAAAGCTTATAGAATTAACACATAAACAATGACATGATCAAATTTTACTTTGCAATGTTAAAACTCTTACCAAGGGTGGACTTGCTTTTGGTTTGTGCTTGATGATAGTTTTCTTTAATTGTAAAGCTCTGGTGTAAAATTGCTTTAGAGGCAAAAGATGCATAATTATTAAAAAATAATAATATAATAAAATTAACTTGACATGAAGCATTCAATGTTTCAAAGTCACATTATTAACCCTTTCACTCTCAAGATCTTATTAAAAATTCTCCTTACTGTCTGTCATACACTTCTTATGACTTTAGTTGAGGGAATTTTAGTATGGGATCAACTTATAATCTCCTAGAGATATTTGTTGTTATTCTCATCACTTGAATACTGATACTGTATTGATATTGTAAGGAGAAATTCTGTCTTGGTCAATCTGGACAATAGGAGTTTAAGGGTTCTACTTTCTAATAATGGGAAGCGTAGAGAAGGAAATGTTTCTCTTAACTGTATCTAAGAAATGACTTAAACCGAGGCAGCAGCAAGGCATAATCGCATGTAATCATATGAGTAATCATGATAAAAATTTTGTATTTATTTTAACTTGCATACCTCTGCTCTTTTGTATTGCTCATCATCAAACAACGAATCAGCGAGATACACCAACAGTTGGTACTTGTTAACCATATGACTAAGATCATATTTATCCTGATTGCTATGCTCAGTTGCAGACAACAAAAAATTTGCCTGAAAATGGGGAAAAAATCTCAAGTTATGAGTTAAAAAGATCTGTTGACATAGACATAACCGTTACACTACATTTCTTCCTCCTAGCAAATTAAAGATGAAATGAAATTTAATTCCGATAGATAAGCTCCAGAAAATGCTGAAAATTTTATAAGTGTGGGACATCTATGTGACAACGTTTATGATGCCGTTACTACCTACTAAAATAGTTTCCAAAAAAATTTCTTTTGAAAGCGATGGGCTTAAGAAGGCTTGCACAAATAACAGTGTGAACGCTTCGCCCTCAAGCAGCTGACCTCGAACACATCAAGGATTTTTGGAGGTCGTCTAATCTTGAAGGCCCCGACTCTGTCACATTTTTTACATAGATTCGGCAAATTTTCTTATCTCCAAATCGTAGCACAAACGCAAAATCAATTAAACAGACTCACCAACATCCTAGAGCTCGAAAACAGCCCAGCTTCATGCAGAGCTTTCACCTGATCTAGCGGCACTGCCATTTAACTTATTCTGTCCAAAAATTTCTTTGGCGATACTACAACGTTCAATTCTGAGATGATCGCGGGGATTTTAGTGAAAGAAAACCGCAAATTGTAAACTGCTTATTTTTTACAAAATTGCAATAACATTTGAACTACGCGGGACTCAATTACTCAGCAGCTTCTGAATAGAATATATGCGCAAGCCCAGGAAGCGGATCTAAGTGACCGCTGCTTATAAATCCTGCAGGCTTGTATTTTCATGGCGCTAAAATTACCAAAAGTCGGCCACAATTGAATAATTTTTTAAATTGTAAAGTAGTGTACAGAATTGGTTATTTTGTGGTAGATATGGAAGAATTAAGTGGATCCGTTATTTTACTCCTAGCTTTCCTAGTGGGAAGTTTTCTCGGCTGGTTTCTCAGAGGACAAAGGGAAACAATCAAAGAACCGGTAAGGCACGTTGAGGAAGTTTTAACGGGTTCGAGAATAATGATTTTGTGAGCATGACTTGAAAGAGGAGATGTCACTTTGTATATTAGCAATCTGTTAGCTTTTGGCGTAAATACCCAATTTGATATTGACTTAAGGAATTATATTTAGAAAAAATTATGTCTCGTACCGCGGCGTTTATCCTGTTTCTCCTCCCTGGCCTCCCCCCCCCCCCCCCTGCTCCCCCCACACTCACAAATGAAAAATGTAATTCAACATCTGCTATTCTTGCACAATTTTTTATGGAAAGAACATTATTTGGTTAGTTTTTTCACTTAAACTAAAACTTAGTATATTCTACGCGTACGAGGGAAAACACTAGCACCTAAATACTTAACAAATAGATTCCAATGATGTTCTTACCACATTTTGACTTCCTCTGTGATCTATTACTGAACAGATGCACCACAACTTGGAATCTATTTGTTTTATATAATAAAGAATTAAAAAAAGTTTTAATGATGACATCATCTATACATCTGTCCTCCAATAGATCATAAGTGAGAACCAATCAGAATGCGTACATAATTGAGCTTATTATATAAAACTGAATGACATACAAGAGTATCTGTAGCCTCAAATGTGGTTCAATTAAAAAAATATTCCATGAACACAGACGGCATCAAAGTATGGTAAAAACAAAAAAGTGGCACAAGGGACACAGCCAAGTATGTCACTGGTGTTCCTACCACACTTGGACAACTTCTGTGATCTATTACTGAACACACCCACAGCGACATGGAATCTATTTGTTTTATATGATAGGACAGCAAAATTATGTTAACCTTACAACTCCCAGATTGAATTTGTTATTTTCTTTACTGTCAACCATACAATTCTTATAATGTTAGTTCAGAGAATTTAGTATTGGATCAACTAATTATCCCCAAATTGATCTTTTCTTTATTCTCATCACTTGTCTGCTTGATATTGTATTGATATTGTAAGGAGAAATTCTTTCTTGGTCACTCATTTGAGTTAAAGGGTTAATGGGAACATCATCTATGATCTTGTCCTTTAGTAGGTCATCAGAAAGAACCAATCAAAATCTGTGTATAATTCTGCTTAACCCTTTAACTTCCATGAGTGATCAAGACAGAATTTCTCCTTACAATTTCTCCAGACAAGTGATGAGAATAAAGAAAATATTAGTTAGGGGACTATAAGTTGATCCAATACCAAATTCTCCAAACTAACATCACAAGAACTGTATGACAAACAGTAAGGAGAATTACTAATGAGATCCTGGGAGTTAAAAGGTTAATGTAAATTAGACTCAGAGAGTTACTGCATGAGACTTCAGATAGAGTGGTATGTGTTTTAGTTTGTTTTTTTATATTTTTGCAGCCAGGAATATTGAATCTAGATGCAGTTGGTGAATACAAAATGGTTTTAGTGGTAAGACAGGATCTTGGAATGGGTAAAGGGAAAGTTGCAGCTCAAGTAGGTAAACAGCAATATAATATTGCTGTTCATTTTCTTTACATTTTGAGTGCTTATCCATATTAATTATCAGATCATTGGAAACTTGTTAGAAATTTGTGGCAATCCTGCTGGGTTTTTGGGTAATCATTTGGATCTTCAGTATGATTATACTGTGCTCAGTGCAGAAAAACCTGATTCTTTTATGTAGACAACAATATTTTCATTTGTGTGTTTTTTCCTCCATTGTTCAGACTCTTTCTTTGAGTCATTATGGTTACCTAGAACCTTTGCACCCTAACATCATTAAGCATGTTCTCCATACTGTTGTCAGTTGATACATTCCTCAAGGCACTGACAAGGAGAATCTGTTTCACAATCAAAAGCCTCTTTAACTGGTGATCATTCCCTTTAATCTTATCAAGATGTGACAGTTTGATGTTATCGTGTTATTCTGACTCAATGATTGAGACTAAAAGTGTACCCTTTGTGTGTTGTATTGTTTCCAGTGTTGTCATGCAGCAGTTGGCCTTTGTAGACAAATGGAAACAAACAACCCAAAGGTATTACAAATATTCATCTCATCTCATTCTGTGGTTTGGACAAACTGCTATAAAATTGCACTGGCAACATTTATTATTTTGGTTTGGACACATGCAAAATGTGGTAATTAACAGCTTTTTCTGGACTAAGTACAACTTAGCCCTAATTGGCTGGTAAGTGGTCGTCGACAGTGTTTTTATTAGAAATGTGGTCATAGGAGAAAAGTGTAAATAATGTTCTCCACATCTGAACAAAAGAACTCAGGTCATCAAACTTTACCCAGCAAATTCCATGTGGTTGGCAGATCATTTTGGTCCTCAGTGACTGAAAACATCTATAAGCAATAATCAGTATTGTTAAACCACAATGTTCAGGTTTATTTCCTTTTGCATCTTGTTTTTATGCTTCTTGTTATTTTTTTATTGACCTGAAGCTGTTGCATGAATGGGACCAAACAGGATGTGCCAAAGTTGTTGTTAAGGCCCCAGATGAGGAAACATTGTATGTAACTTGTTTTTAAATTTGTATACTGTCAAAAAAAATTTTCATTTTCCTCTGCTGTTCATCTTAATTCTGCTCAGCTTAACATATCAGACATGTTGAACCATAGTTAATTGTAACTATGGGTTCATGTGAAGAAACCCAGATAATGAGATCCTGTTGTAATGTTCAAATTTTAAAATGTTTTTAACCAGTCTGTTTTTCAATTCCCCATTATTTCAGATTGGAAGCATCTGTTCCTATTAATAATATTTATTTTGTATTTTTAAAACCAACTTTGTGTGTTTGATGGGAGAATGACACAATTAACCCTATACATTGGTATTCGTATTCTTCAAACTGTTCTCTACATATTTTTTATTGTATTGACAAGGAGAATTTGGTTAACAATCTGGAGCATCTCAAATTCGTGATTATTTTCTTCAGGCTCTAATCTTTACAGTTAATTCCAGGGTGATTCTGTAAGAAGAAATTAGAAGTCAGTCACTCTTACAAGTTGAAGGGTTAACTGATAATATTTCATGGTGATTATTTCAATCTAACAGAGTTGAGCTCACACGACAAGGAAGATCTTTAGGTCTGGAGACATGTCTTATTAGAGATGCAGGCAGGACACAGATAGCTCCTGGTTCTAAGACTGTTCTTGGTGTAGGACCTGGTAAATAAATACTTATAAGAGTTCTTATCTTCCATGTGTCAATCTCAATGGATAGGATAAGTAAGGGGCCTAGTGTTTACTGTGCTGACCTGGGATGGAGGAGCCTGGGTTCAAGTCATGGCCAAGGTGTAGTGTATTGTGTTCTTAGGAAAGACACTTTATATTCACCAGGCCTCTCTCCACCCAGAAGCATGAGTGATCAGCTGGGAAACATGATGAAAAGATAGGAGGAAGGGCTGAAACTGTGTCTTTTACCATTCTTTTCATCCACATTTTTAATAATTTGTTTTCTTTGCATTTTTTTTTTGTTTTTCCCTTCACTCCTTGTTCCTGTTTTGTTCCTGTTTTGTTCCTATTTCTTTGGTTGCACTCAATACTTGTCTTTCATCTCATTTTTTAAGGATGATTTACTTTCAGTTATTTCTTAATTCATTGAGGTGTTTTTGTTTTGCAGGCCCAGTAGATATAGTAGACAGAGTGACTGGCCATTTGAAGCTATATTGATAAAAGTAAATGACCTGAAACCATATTTTTTTAGCTTTAGCAAAACTAATCTCACTTGGTATAGTATTTTTGTCGCTTATTTCTGTATATTTAATGTTTTGCGGTAATAAACTTCAAACCAGCTTTCTTTTTCTGAAGTGGATATGTAATTCAAATACACATAAAACAATAGATGCTTAATTCCGTTATTTTTTAAGCCAAGTGAAGCTCATTCTGCAACCATGTAAAGGATTTTTTTTCTCTGTACTCCACCATACATGCCTTAAAATTTAATCTCTGAGAATTTGGTTCCAAATCTAACTGTTACAGTGTTCTCCAGTTCATATTTCCTTTCCTCTGGTCACCTTTGGACTGGAAGATATATTGATTATGTGAGAAGAGACTCATTTTTGGACAATCTTAATGGGGGAGAGAGTGGGGATGGAAGAGGAGTCAACATATTCAGAGTACAGTTACACAGGTTCCTCTCCAACTTTAGGGGTCCTTGATGAGGGGATGAAATACCTTTAACCCCCCTTTGCAAAGAAAACAGACTCAAAACTGAATAACAGGCTCATTCTTTAATTCTCAATGAGCAACATTTGGGTAGAAAAAAATAACAAAAACAACAAAATAAAACTAAATTATTATCTCACCTATATATACATATATATATAGATATACTTATAATACATATTTACAAATTTCTGCTTAATACTCGTGTGACAATTCAACTCTCAAAGTCTCGTCACTGTCTCGTGGCGTTCATTCATTTCTTGAGCCAATGTTTCTCTTCCCAGTTCAGTGGCGAGGTGAAGAACTACGTTATCTTCATCAGTAACCTCATTGACTATCTTAGTGGGCTCGGGATCGTTAATAACGTTCTTATTGCGTTCTTTCTTGCCCCGTTTATCTCTTTTAGAGCTTTGTTTCGGTTTTTTTCGAAATACTTTCCGTAGTCTGGAGAAAAATCCACCCTGCAATAGAATATGAGAACGGTGATTACAATGATAATGGTTAAAATGTTCCATATAGCTTTCGGTTGCAGACGTACTTCCGGTTGTCACAGATATGCTTCCGGTTGCGAAGGGAATACGACTACCTTCGCTGATCAAAACTACCGTCAACTCGAAAGAGACTACAAATTATTTCTTCAGTAGGACAGGAAAACACGTAAGAGACAGTGATAAACCAAGACAGATCAAGGATGGCTAACGATGAACAATATTGAGAAAGGTTGCATATGATAAGCTTGCAGAATCTTGGCCAAATTTTTCAAGATGCACAAGTCTTTAGCTGCTGTTAGTAGCCACTTAACTACTGACCTATTGGGCTTAGAGGATCGCTACTTCTCATTGTTTAAGAGTGTTCTTTATCTTGCAAAGGAAAAATTTCCTCGTGTTCCCGAATTCTTTAGTCTAATACTGTGCTTTTCGAAATCAATCTGATTTGCTAGAGATATAAATGCGGATTTTCTAAGCTTTACCTAATGGGCTTGGATTATGTCAGAAAATGAGACCATTCTCAAACGAATTATTGGAACCTTTTTCTATTAGTTCGTTTATTCAACGGACCTTCTTAACTTTTGGTTTAAGTACGCCGTTATCTCCAAGGACTTCGATCTTTTCAGGGTCTTCAACTTCTTCAACTTGATGGTCGGCTTTGTTTATGGCAGGTTCCTCCGCAAGTTCATCGTCAGAAATCTGTGGGGTCACCTCTTGAGGCGGCTGATGAGGAAGACTCTGTTGAGGCTCGAGGTGTGTCTGATCTTGTACTGTTATGGTGTTCACAAAACCGTATGGGTCGTCATCAAACTGCGAAAGTAAGGCCCGGGAGCGGTCGATTAGATACTATAGATCTCCGCAATAGTACACAGTCTTAGGATAAGACTAGAGGGGGAAAGATTCTGGATGAGGTTTTTGGTTAGAGGGGATTCTGGGAAAGTTTTTTTTATAAGGGGAAGATTCCGGGTGAGATTTCCTCTTCCTATTTTGCGTTTTACTAATTAATCGTTGTGATTACCTTGATTTTGGTATTAAGGTGCTCTATCGAAATTCGCTTACTAACAGTTTGGTTCTTCTTAGTCTAAGAGGCTTTTTCTAATTTGGGTGGCGTTGTCTTTTGCTTAAAAAGTGCATACTTACCACGTAAAGAGAACTATCATACTGCTGTTTGAGGTCACCATTCTCAGCTAGTTGCTGGACATAGGCGATCAGGTTTTTCTCGAGTGTTATCTCCTCCTGTTCGATAATTTTACTTCTCAGTTCCATTTCATCAGCTGTATGGTCCAACTCGTCTATTTTTTTCCTCAGGACTTTTTTCTCTTCATTAGCCTTTGAAATTTGGCCTTTCAAAATCTTGCTTTCAGTCGCCATCACTTTGTAGCTTGCATTCTTGGTCTCCTCCAGCTGTAATTGCTGAATAATTCCTTGCAGCTTGGCATTATCAGTTCTTTTGCTCTGAATTCTATATTTCATTTGTTCTTTCTTTGCTCGAAGGGTGTCTGTAAGTTCCATCATCTCATTGGTGTGAAAGTCCAAAGCGACATTCAATTCGTACAGGGTTTGTTCAAGTTTCTTGCCTTGAGCACACAGCTCGTCTAATTCCCTTTTGCGTTCTTCTCTCTCCTCCAACACCATGTCCAGTTTATTCAAGAGCGATAACCTCTCCTGTAAAAAAAAATCAAACAGAGACCGGTTATTTTTTTATCACTTGGGTGAGGGGAGGGGAAGTTCGGTGAATTTTGGTTTGGTCACAATAAAATTTACTGATCCTCCCCTCCGTAGTCTTTTATTAATCCCCACTCATTGGCAGTCAATATTCTTAAGTTCCCGAGTTTATACTCTGTTAGCGACGACTGATCCCCACTCCGTCCCCCCTGAAAACTATGTGATCCCATCCGAACCCTCTCCCCCCACCCCCACCCCCGTGATAAACAAATGACTGGTCACATGGATCGTCTCCAATTAGGAATAAAGCTTAGATCTTTTTTAGTGTCTCTGTTAATTTCAAACAATGCGTTCAAAACGCGCGCACCGTAAATAAATACGCCTGGAGCGCGTAACAATTGCGCTTTTTAATAAGTTAGCCTCAATCTGATTTCATGGTTTGTGTTAGTCCGTCAGAAATAAAAACGAATGGGTTTATTGCATAAATTTAGCTCAATGAGTATTTCTCTCTATGTACCTACCTCAGGAGTTTCAAACTCATCCGCCTGAACATACGGGGGAATAGGAACAGGGTTAAACTGGAAGCACGTGGGGGGAACTGCACTAATTGTAGGTGCTTGTTTTGGTCCTGATCCAGGTTTCTGAATGAACCCTCCTCCCGGTAACTCAATCTTAACTGCATAATCTGCGGGTGCTTGTTGTGTTTCTGACCCAGGCTTCTGAATGAAACCTCCTCCTGGTAACTCAATCTTAACAGCAGAATCTGCAGGTGCTTGTCGCAGCTCTGACACAGGCTTCTGAATGAACCCTCCTCCCGGTAACTCAATATTAACTGCAGAATCTGCTGGCTGTGGCTCTGACACAGGCTTCTGAATGAACCCTCCTCCTGGTAACTCAATCCTCCCCACATTGAGGGACTGAGTATCTTCGGAACCTGTGAAAGATAAAGTAAAATATTAGCCACTCTAATATCGCTCAGTCTACAAGCCCCTGTTCGGGGATGAGCCCGCGCTCAACCACTTCAGGAGGATCGAAGATCGGATCGAGAAAACGGCGGAAATCGAGGCTTAAATCACCACTCCCGTCACATACGAACAGAACAACCAATCCCGTCCCAATCTTCAAGTAACATGACGTGATTGTATTCTTATGCAGCCCAATTGATAAGGTGTTTGTATTTGTGTCTTTTGCCATCTTTCTCTCTCTAGCGCATTAGGCACAAGTTGGGGCTCAGCAATCAAGGGCGCAGCGACTCCAAATTTTTTTCAAACAAACAGAGTGAATGCACAGAGTTTTGAATTCCCCTTAGCTTGTTTGCTTCCAAAAAGAGATACTGTTCTGAACAAGCGAAAAGAAAAAGAAACATTTTTTACCTCTTACCCAAGAGAATATTCCCTTGACTTACCGGATTGCTCAACTTGTTTTGGGGGTAAGGTATTGAAATTTTGCGTAAAAGGATTCCACATTTTACTTCTGAAACGAAAAAAACAAAAAGCACTGATTAAGTTTCAGTAAGCGCAAATGTAAGAGGAAAGCTAACGATGAAACTTATTTTTAGAAGATGAGGGGTCTTCTAGGGTGCGGGAACATATAAACAGTTCTGCCTTCAGAGACTACAGTTCGTAGCAATGGAGCGCGAACACAGTTCGCGACGCATCACAAAAATTCTCTTACCTCGTTTTTTGATCTTCAGGTGTCCTCAAAAATCTCTGAAGATATTTTCGGTATGCTTTAAGACTCTTCAAATAACAAATCGGCTTGCTGTGAGTGTCGTAAACTTCTCGTAATAAACACACGTGTAGCTCTCCTCAGGGCGCAACAAATATTCACGCTATCTGTTCTGAGAATAAACACTTCCAGTTGCTATAGAGACGTTTAATGATAAATCACTTACGTCATTGAAATTTTTGGCGACGTCACCTGCGCCCGCAAACTTCAACGAAGCCAAATGGAACACCTCTATTGATATATTTTTTCCTTTATCCGTACAGAATTTAGATTCAGTATTATTTCACCACATTTTAACTCTTCGATTTCACTCTTATTGTATTTTTGCTTTCTTTCAAAAGGAAAGCCGTGCACATTGAAGTTCGAGACAATAATGGCTGCTCATAATATGATAAACAAACAAATAAACAACCTCTTACATAAAACTTGTTTACTTAACTTTGTAAACTTTTTGAAAACTTTTCCTTGATCTTTTTCCTGATTGGTTTGTTGTCAGACAACACCCCCAATAGAGGTCACGTGTTACATCTGAAAGTAGAAAAACATGGCGGACCACAGAGACCTTGATCCTATATTTCCTGGACGAAATGAGGGATGTTTCCATGCAAGCAAAGGTTAATTTGTGATAGTATTGTTTGTAAATAATTAAATGATATTTTATCTTAATGCAGCTAATTGCTTTATCATACTAGGTCCGTTTCGTTTCGTGCTGCTAATTTTTACGTGTATGCTGACGTTCGGGTCGTATTTTTGCTTTGATATGCCGAGGTGAGTTTTTCCATAAAATTTCTTTTCCAGCGTTATATATCTGCATTAGAATATGTATTTTTTTTCAATTGTAAATTTTTGAAATATTCAACGTAAACAGTGTACATTACTATTCAATTGCAGTGTTTTGCAAAACACCTTCACAGCGGTGAGTGTTCGTTTAATACCGCTTTGTGTTTGTCTTTCCTAAATGAGGAGTTAACAAGTCAGAACTTACTTTTTATCAAAATGATGTTAATTGCCCCGAACTTAATTTTTCAATGGCAAAACTTGCGAAAGAAAGACTTGGTAGGTTCACCTATGAACCAACCAGACAATATTTTTCTTTTTAATCACTTAGCAAAAAGATGAACTTGATATTGAGACTGAAATTTGACGGGTAAAATGGGGGTCACCAAATTTGATTTAGACTTTCACACACAAAGGGCTAAGATTAGCGGTGTTTGCATGAGGAAATAGTGTTTCTCTGGTAATCTTCTTTTTTTGTTTTTTTGTTGTCTCTTTTGCAGCCTTCACATCCTAACAGCACAGGAAACTGTACAACAGTGGACGGAAAGCCAATTGACAAGATCCATAGTAATGGAACTCATTGTACTAGTGGCCTGGAGTTGACTGAAACACAATTTAATTTGCTGTATGCTATATATGCTTGGACGTAAGTGAAGATATAACTTTGTTACCTAATAGTTTGCTTGAAAATGAATATTCTCTTTCTGCTTCCTTTTTTGGTAAATTACCTGATTGGCAAAGCCCTCTTTTAATGATTCCAAACTCATGCTGTTGTTGAGGCAGATGTTGCTGGGAATTTGGAAACTTTGAGATATAGAGCTTGTGGATGTTTATAGAGCACACTTTTAAAATGTAATCATAAGCCAAGTTCTTTTTATGTATATTACTTAAATTGAATTAATTGAAGGTATTAAGTGTCCCAGATTTTGAATCAGTGCAAAATTCTTGTTGTTACTGGCTCCCAATTGCTGAAAACCCATCATGTGTTTTTGGAACACAACCAAGCTAAAATTAAGTCAAGTCTCAGGAAAATATTGTATTATTGATAACTGTGAGAGCATAGGTTGCCAATTTTTAGGTCTGTTCTCTTGCAGAGCCCTCTAGCTTTGCTTCTGCTATAGCTTTTAAGAGCTTGGTACTGCAGATTATTATGACAAAACCCCTAAGGCAGTGTGTAATTCTTCTAATAACACAGTGTTTCTTATATTACTCTTTTGCAGGAATGCAATAGTTGTTGTACTGGCTGGATTTTTAATTGACAAGTTGGGAAATCCAAGTAAGTAAGGAGGTAAATTACAGATGTTTTGAGGTGCAAAACTGCAGCCAGAAGTTGTGAGCCCTTTTCCCTATCACTTATTTGAGATTTTCTATACAAAGCATTTGGTTTTAATCTCAAAAAACAAGCTAGTGCTTTCCAGTGAACTGGTTTAAGAAGTTGCCTTCCTTTTCCCATCAAAATATCCATCACAAAGGAATCCATGCTGATGAATTCTGTGCTGTCTTCTCAGTTTTCTTAAGTACCATCAGGATTCATAACTGTTTAACAAGTAATTACTTTCAGTTAAAAAAAAATTAAAACCTGTGTCATTCCATCCCTATAGAATGTGTTACAGCAATGAAAGCACAATAATGTTAATTATTGTTTGAAGAGTGAGGAGCTATGACTTTTACCAAAGTGGTTGAAGTTTCCTCTCTTTTTATTCATTTCCATGGTGATGCAAATCAATGAGGTGTAATACATAACAAAACAACAGACAAAAAAAGAACTCAGAAACTACAGTACAATATTTATGCAAATTGATTTCCTCTTACAGTTGGTGCCCTGTTGTTTTCATCCATGTGCCTGGCTGGTACTTCTGTGTTTGCTATAGGACTGTACTTTGAAGGAAGGTCGGCCATGTTTCCCGTTTTCTTATTGGGTAGAATACTGTTTGGGTAAGTTGATAGAGTGGTCTTTTAAAGCTTGCTCTAGTTTTTTCAGTTGTGATTATTTTTATAAAAAATTGCAATAAAACATTTCTTAAAAACATTCTAAGATTGCTATAAAACAACGACGTTTCAACTTTGGCTAAAGATCATTATCAAGTCAAAAAATGCTCATAATTTGTAGTCTATATATACCAAAATAACAATGGATGATTATTCCCTTGCTTAATATAGAAAGCATGATTGCTTATATTTATTTCATGATTAATTGATTGTTAATGTGTCTATTGATTAGCTCTAGGCCCAAATAATATCTGGAAGGTGCAGGTTTGAAGCCCATCCCTTCACTGCTTACTTGGGAGAATAATTTATTTACCTATAGACAGTGCACCTGTGGATAAATGGGAGATCAGATTTAGAAAAAAAACACTCAATCAAAATTAATTCTAATCATTTCAAAAGATATAAAAATGTCAAAGTATTTAGTAATATTAGATATTAAATTACTGTCTTTTTGAGCTGGTTATCTAATATTGATTTATGGAAAACATGGTATTTTTCTCATGTTTGACATTTTCTTTACCACAGGTCTGGAAATGGCTCATTAACAAGTAAGTTCTAGACTTTGTATAAATTGGGATTAAATAGTTTGTCTGACTATTAAAAGCCCATCTCTATGTGGTGCAGTTGTGAGAAACTTCCCTTCTGTCTTTCAATCTATCAGGAGACCACTGAATCTTTTTCAAATTAACCAAATATAAAACTTTTGATTATGTATATGAATTTTTTGCATGTTATTTATGTACATAGCTACATTTTATTCTCACAGTTGTGCAAAACAGAATATCTGCAATGTGGTTCAAAGGAAAGGAACTTGCTTTTGCGTTTGGTTGTATTCTGGCATTTTCAAGACTTGTAAGTTCTTGCAACTAAATTTCATGTGAACCTGAAATTTGCATGGTTTTAAGGACAACTTGATAATAGCTTATGTCCATAATAGATTGTGGACATTATTTTCAGTCTGTCCAATCGTTAGAGATTAGGGTCTGTTAGTTCATTGGCTTCTTATAGCCAGAATGTTTTTTTAAATAATATTTTTATTGAGAACTAAATTGATTTTTGAAAAATGATCAAATGCTGTTTGTAACAATTTTTTGTGTACCCAATCATATTTGCAAGTTTGTCAGAAATATTTTCGCTAGATAATACAGGTGCATGTTACTTTTATTATCCAATCAGTTACTAAACAATTTTGTTTTTATTTCACTTTAGGGCAGTGTGTTAAACTTTCTTCTAACAGAAAGATTTAATGAAAAGTATGGTCTTCAGTGGACTTTATGGGGAGGTAATTTATTTCTTAACAAGTAACTTATGATAACCTTTAACACCCTAAGAGTGACCAGCTTCTAATTTTTCCCCACAATATCACCCCTGAATCAAACATGAAGGTCGTAAAAATAACAAAGATGATCACTAATTTAATAAGTTCTTGGTTGTTAACCAAATTCTCCATGTCAGTACCCAGGGAAATATATACAGAAAAGGAATATGCATACTTATGTTTGGGTGTAAAGGGTTAATTTCTGTTAACTGTTATGTGATGCATAATACCATGGTGTTTCATTGTTTTGTACAACTTATTGATGTCATACATTTGATTACATCTTTATAGAATTCACCTTAGCAAGCAGATTGACTTTTGGGAGTTAACCAACTATTAATCTGACTAGTTATTCCATTCCAGTCTGTCTTTTTGGTCTCAGTATCTTTTAAGTTCCATGCAAATTTATTATTCCAGCCAGGGCCCTTTTTAGATAATTCCATGACTAGTTAGTGAGCCCCTATAAATTCCTTGTTCCTAAAACTTGCTGAGAATGCTTTCTTTATTGAACTTAATTCTGTGTAAGTAAGAAAATAATATAACCCTTTGACTCCTAAGTGTGACTAGCATCCAATTATTCCTCACATTATCACTTCTGAATCTCACTTAAAGATGAAGAGAATAAAGGAAATGATCACTAGCCAAAAACGCCCTTAATTGTTAAACAAATTCTCCTCCTCAGGACCTTAGGAAATGTGTAGAAAACAGCATAGAGAATATACATACTGATGTTAGGGTTTAAAGGGTTAAACACTCTTAATGACCATTTTTTTTTAATAAGGAGCCATCCTATGTGGAGTGGGTGTTGTCTGTGCTGTTGTAGCATCATTAATGGACATTATTGGGCTGAAGCAACTCAACAAGGTATGGCTTATAGTTATTCATTACACTGAAAATTCTTGGAAAAAGCAGTTTCAGCATTTACTTTGCAGAAAAGATTAGGCATTAGAATCTCTCTGTGGTTACAGATTCACATAATCAACTCAGTTGATAAAACCAAATTATCTTGTCATACCCCTCTATTTGACACAGAACCACAGTTTCTTTCAAAACTTACCCTATAAATATATTTGGCATCAGAGATCAGGGAATTTGCAAGCTATGTAATTTTTAGTTAAATGTCAGTGGCTTCAGCTATTTTAAATTAAGATGAGAAGAATATTCTCATCTTATTTTACACAATTCTCTTGCTACCATATTTTTTAACGAAAACCTTAAGGGAATTGAAAAATACAAGTTATGTAATAATTAGTTTCTTTATTCTTTGACTGACAGCAAGTAGAGATGGAAATTGAGTCAAAGAGAATGGTAAGTAATTTTTTACACTAAGTGCGGTCAGTACACTGGTGCCTCTGTTAGTTCTTTTTGTCCAGTCATCTTCTGACCTCTCCTTAGTTTGACTTTTGTTTTGATTGTTGTGTTTAGAGACTCACAGACATCAAGTACTTTTCATCATCTTTCTGGCTTCTGGCATTCTGTCTAATGTTTTTCTACATTGGTGTATTTCCCTTCATTGCAAATGCCAGGTAATTTTTCTCTTCTATGGGACTGTAATTATGAAGTTGACATAACTTTGAAAGCATTTTAGAATTAAATATTAGGACCACATACAGACTGATTTATCACCTATGTCAGAACCCTTTTACTTTGTAAAACATTTTTTACCTTTTCAATTGTCTTGCAGTAAATTCATTTATGTGAACTACAATGAAACTTTCCGCTTTACCAAGCAAGAGTCTTCTTACATTGCGGGAAGTGTGTATATGGTGTCCATGATATTTGGACCTCTGATGGGACTATTTGTGGTAAGGAAAACAAAAACTACCTCAACTCTTTAACCCTTAAGCATGACTGACATCTAATTTCTCCTGACCATATCACCTCTGAGCCAAACATTAGGGTCAGGAGAATAAAGGAAGAGATCACCAACCAAAGAAGCTCTTGATTGTTAGACAAATTCTCCTTGTCAGCTCCTGAGGAAATGTATAGAGAACAGTATGGAGAATATGCATACTGATGTTAGTGTGTAAAGGGTTCAGAAAAAATTTTTAATTAATCTGTTGTATTATGGAGGTTACCAGTAGGATCATATAAAATCAACAGATACCACAACTGCAACTCTTATTAGGCACCTTCTCCCATGTAAATCTGGAATTTGTTGGTTCTGAGCACTTCCAAAATGACCTTCAGATGACTTATTGACCCAACCCTCTCATGTTTGCCCTTCTGCTGAAGTTTATTTTACGGACAAACTATGTTTATTTAGCTAGCTATAGTAAGTGCATGCAATACCTAGAACTGTTATCATCTGCAAAAGTCAGGTTTTTGAATGGTGGTCATAAAGTAGGGAGCTACCTTCTATTTATTGTCCTGCAGGATAAGTTTGGGCGTAGAGGGATTCTTATATTCCTTTGTTCAGCTTTAACAATACCAGTTTATGGATTTTTGGCATTTGCACCAAATGTTCATCCCCTTGTACCCACCATTTGGCTTGGCTTCACTTACTCCATTGCTGCAGTAAGTTAATCACTGGATAAAGAAGTTGTAAAATTTTAAATGCATGAAGCTATGATTTTAAGAATTAATTAGCTTCACTTGGTAATGGTTCTGGTTACTGTGGTTCAAAGAGAACTACCTTAAAAAAATATGGATTTTGTCATTAAGAGCAAGCTGATATTGCTGTTAAAGTTTCTTTCTCTGCTGGTGTCAGTTTGTTTTCTACTGGTAATAACTTAAGGGTACTAGGGAGAAATGTGATGGTTGTTACAGCATGGGACAAGCTGGGATAAACATTAAATAATTAGGTGCTCAGTAATTTGGGTATTCATGTAATTTGATTGCATTTCAATTGTGGTTTAAAACGATTATTAAAATTCATAGTGTTTTCCAGTTATTATAAAATATTGCAATACAATCAATTTATTTCTTCAAGAAGACTTAAGTTGTTTACTGTCTTCTTGTAGGCATCTCTTTGGCCATCATTCCCTCTTGTTGTGGAACAGGCAACTGTTGGTGAGTTAACAAAAACAGGAACCATTACTTTAACCTGAGCTCTTAGAAGATTTTGAATAGATGTCCTTCCACAATTAGCTTCCAGCCCTTTTAACCCAAAAAAATGTTCAGATGAAAGGCTTGGCTAAATTGACAATGACTAAGAACCCTGTTTCATCAAAAAAAAAAAACAGCTAAACTTTGTCAAACAACTGGCCCCTTTTTTTTTTTCTTTTTACCCTCATAGTAATTCTTTACATTGTTGCTGATTAGAAAGTGTTCTATCCCCCACACAGGTACTGCTCTAGGATTAACAACTTCAATTCAGATGATTGGTATGGGAATAGCTAACATCATTGTTGGAAAAATGCTTGATATTATAACGTAAGTAACATGTTCTATGTACAAACTCGTACAATGCATATGAGAACGTTGTGACAGGTTTTTGAGGTAAACTGTTAATTCTGAGACTTCTTTTTTACATATATTTTTACTAAAGAGTTTTATCCTCTTCCAACTTATGGCCTGAGGTGATTATTTCAGTTACTAGGTACTCTTTTTTGACCTATTCTTGTAATTCCACTGTCTTAATAGAAGTATGATTAACATAATTAAGATTTTTTTTCTGATTTCAGGTCTCAATACAAATGGAAGTATGTTATGATTTTCTTGCTGGCCAATACCTTGGCTTGTGTGACGTTTGCCATTTTGGTGAATATTGATGATAGAAGAAAGGTAAATGGCAGCCACTGTGATTTGATAATTTAATCCTTTAACCCTTAGAAGTGATTTACTAATTATTCCTTACAATTCCAATGTTATCTTATGAACAGGTTATGAGAACAAAAAAAGTTATTGGCAAGGGGATATTCTCTTGATAAAACACCAAATTCCCCCTGTTTTATTTATAAGAAACTATAAAGCAGTCAGAAGGGAGAAAGTATAATTGGATCTTGAGACTAAAAGAGTTATGTTTTAACTGGTATATCATTCACATATTATAACAATGACTTTTCCTAGGGACTCAAATCATTCAAGCCTACAAGTAAAAGCATTATATCAAAAAATGTTGATAACATAATAAATTACTACATGTTAACTAGTTTTTCCTTCTCTGCTTTCCTATCTAGGGAGGTGTATTAAATCACTCACCAAGAAAAAGAGATGATTCATTAATAGAAGGACCTGGCAACAATTATGGATCAATTTCAACATCAGGATACACTAAAAAAGATGCACTTCTTTATGACTCCTCAACATCCATCAATTAGATCCAAGCAAACTTTCATAATTATCAATCAATGCATCTTTTTGTTTTACCCTTTTTTCCTTAAATCAGTTTTCACCATTTTACAGAAAGTTCACATAATCAAGACTCCAGTGTAATTTTGTTTCCAGTATTATATCTCCAGATTTTGCATGGATTTATAAATTGACAGTCAATACCTCTTACTAACTGAGTTCAAGGTCTGTACTGTTTGTTATAGACCAAATTTTTCTCCACTCAGATTTATGACCCAATTGAAGGCCATAAATCCAAGTGGGAACAATCAATATTCCAAAACTTGCAAAACAGACTGAAAAAAAAAGGCTAGTATAATATTTTTGATATCTCTGGGTTCAAATATAGAAGGAAGATTTCACTTCAAACAAACTTTAGATTTAGGGAAGCATACTGTGAAACAAGGCCCGCCAAATTGACCAATCATAACATAGGTAATAACTATATACGAGATCAAATAATTTATAAAAAGGCTGAAAAAATCATGAATTCTAATATTGATTTATTACAGTTTTTTATTATAAATAAAGTAGAATTTAAAATTGAGTTTGTTGAAGCAAAATTAAGAGAAGACGAAGAATAAATTAAACACATAAAACTGTGTGCATCATTTGAATTCTGCTGCAAAGTATCTGCTCTTTTTATCACATTGTGGTTTTCCTCTGAACAAATCAGGAAATGTTTTTAGCATACTTTAATTAGCTACAGGGTGTCAGAGCTTCCTAGCATCTGATTTTGTTCTGTACTCTTTGTCTTTTTTTACTCTCCACTCGCAAATGTCTGCAAAGTCACATCTACTGCATTTCCAGGCTTCTTCTATTTCCACACCAACAGTTTCCCTTTCTCCTCTCCAGTATGGTAGCATTTTAATAAGCTGTGACTGTGTCCATTCTTTGTCCAAATCCATGCTAGTTCTACCAATCACTTGACAGGTTTCTTGCATGCAATACTCTACTGCTATTGAATTTAACTTTGGTATGTCAGACTGTTGGAATCTTCTTATTAGAAGATTGGTAATTTGAATGAGTCTGTCACACTGAACTCCACAGTCTCTAGCATATTGTGAAACATCTTTTGAAAGGATGGCATCTCCATTTAATTGAAGTTGTGATAAAAGCACTGAAGGGTCAGCCTTTCCTAAGAGCAAGTCATTAAACATAATGCTGTAGATCATTGCTTGCAAGGACGCCTGTCTTTGTTGTGCCTTGGATGGTAAGCTTTTCCTTGTCCTTGTTTTCAACTCTAACAGTTCTAACTGCCCCATCTCATTGAAGTGTACTTCATCAATAATTCCATAAACAAACACTCCCATGTTAAAAGGCCACCCAAAAACTGGAAGTTCTCTCACTGTTTGCTTTGCCTCAAGCAAAGCAATTTTACAAAGACAGTCCAAAAATTTGGTTGCCCACTTGTCCTCTTTAGACTCTACTTTGATCTCCACAAGGTCATATAATTCCTGTTCTGTGTGATAAAAAGTTTTAAGGCAATTAAATAATTAGTCAATGTTTACTCTTTTGCAAGACCTGTCTCAGCAGGATTGGGTATCAGATAGCAACAGGTGTTAGGATTCTACCATTTCCAGGCTTAATGCAAATTGGAATGCACTTTCTTAATATCAGAAACTTTTTTTATGATTGTTTTCATTTTTACTCAGTAACTTGAAGTAATCATTTCTTTGTTAGAAGGGTAATCCCTGCCCCATTCCACCCTAAATCATGTACACCATTCACCCCCCTCCACACCCCTTGGCTATGATGAACCCTTTACACCCTGACATCAGTGTGCATATTCTCCATAGTGTTCTCTATACGATTCCCAAGGTGCTAACAAGGAGAATTTGTTTAACAATCAAGAGGTTCTTTAGTTGATGATCAGATCTTTTACTCTCCTAACTTTAATGTTTGATTCAGAAGTGATATGGTGAGGAGAAATTAGATGCCAGTTACCCTTAGGGGTTAAAGGGTTATGGCCACCCAACCTCTTCATCTCTATCCTATTGCAAGGCTACACAGTACCTCTTTCAAGATGAATGAGTTTTCCCATCCTCATTGGCTCAGATTCTTGTTTAAGTTCTGGAGCTGTGAAGGCATACTCCATTTGCTGCTCACACCAAAATTGAGCAGTTAAATCACTCACACTTAAGTAACCACGACCACCTTTGAACTTTTCAAGAGGAGTTAAAGCCTCCTTAATCGAAGAGCAATCGATGTCCTCTCTGTGTTCAATGCTTTTGGTCTCTAGATGTAATAAAATGAAATAAGAAACCTGTGAAAATATTATTTTGACTATTATTCATGAATTTTTTATCTCTATGCATTCCCAAACCTCTTTCGTTTGAAATATCTCAAAAGTGGTCCTCCTTATTGTGTACTTTTCTGAGAATTTGGGGTTAAATCAAAGTCCATGAGTTGACTTATTCTACATTCTCATAACCTATCTGCTTGACATTGTATTAACGATGCAAGAAGAAATTAAATCTTTGTCACTCGTGGGAGTGAAAAGGTTAACAAATGTATGATAGTTTGTGACAACGATTGAAAATAAACAGGCGAGTAAACATCTCCCGGAAGACTTTCAGAATTACTCTGCAAGCTGTATAGTCGACCTTTCTGACTAGAGCCTCCCTTCTACTAAACCTCTTCAGAAATATAGTGGCCTAAGAAGAGAAACGGGACCGTTAGAAAGAACAAAACCTGAGCAAGTGTAAAAAAGAAAAAGGCCATTAACTATACGAGATTTTGGCGCTATTCTATGAAGTTAAAATGGTTTTGCTTACCTTCCTGAGCAATCTGCATCATGGCGTTCTGAAGAGCTTCATCCAGAATTTGAAATTCTTCATCGCTGACAATCTCTACCTCGATAGAGTTATTTCCACTTTGAACTAGGTCACTCTCCTCTGGAATTTCTTCCATGCTTGCAAAATCGTCAACAAGAACCCACCTGGTAATCGTTGTTTTGAATTTTCATTAATTTCTCAAATGACCGCTGACCCGAGCCGCTTTATTTCCCGCGTGTTTTGTCCTGAGGCGACTTGCTTACTCACGTCTCTTCATTACAGCAACATTCTTCGACGATTCCTTCCGGTTCTTAAGGAAATTGTGTTTTTGAAACCTTTCCGCGTTGTAAACTTGACTTTTTTTGAGGATCTGGAAAACTGATTTATTGGAGTAGTGGGCAGCTGAGCATTAGCAAAATATCTTGGTGTCCAATTGAAAGAAATAGTTACCATGAACCCACCGGACCAGAATGGAGGTCATGTTAATAATCTGGACGGCGATAAAAAAGAGAAAAGGGTGTACAAAGTTGTTTTGACTGGAGGTTTGTTCCAATATTATGCTAAAATAACCGTTTAGGAGCTTCAAGGAGGCTTTGGTCGTCAATTTGAGGCCAAGTAATAACAAATTGTTTGTTATTGTTTACCTATCTAGAAGGCGTACTTCGTTAAACTAAAAACATTCAACAAAATTAAGCTCTTTTACCTTTTTTTACCATGAGGAGCTGTAGTTTGCTTCATACTTGAATTTTTACGAATTTATCACATACAATGCCGTGAACAGCATTGGGCAAGATTTAATCCCGTGCTTTTGTTTGTAAATAATTATCGCATGCTGGCGTTTTTATTAAATTCGACATAGGAAATCATCTCACTAAACTGAAAATATCAGAAATGTAAGTCAGTAGGAAGAAAGAGGTGATTTCTATTTTTTATGTGTGTGTGTGATTATTTTAAAGGTCCTTGTGCAGGGAAAACAACTGTTCAAGCAATGATGTCAACTTTCTTTGAAAATCTTGGATGGAAGGTGTGAATATTTTATACCCCTAAGGGAATAAATCTGTACTTCTAAGAAAATTTGCCAAGAGTGTTTGCCAAAACGGAGGTCGAGAATCATCTGGTAGAGATCTCTTCACTTGGTCCTAATTTTGATCCTGTCCTGCATAGACTGATGTAGACACCATCATTCATAACAATCATAACACCTCAAATTTCAATTTCCTCTTCCAAATGCTCATGACATTGCATATGAAAAACCTAATTAAAAAATTGTAAACATTATAGGGTTAGCACCATAACAGTTTGACAATTATTCAAGCTGTGAAGGGCATTTTTAACAACTGGGAATTTCTTTTGTGGAACAATGATACATAAACACCATTATTTTTATCCCAGTGCAATTCAAATGCAATTGTAGATGCCTCAATCAGCAACAGGTTTCCATTGGAACATTTGGCAACACTGAAATGTGTCCTTAAGCTAGCCAAATGATTATGCATTGATATTTTAATTCAAGTGCTTTCAACCAATAACAAAACTAGGCATCACATTTGAGAACAATTTCACTCTTCAATGACCACTAATGATTTTAACCCAAGTTTTAAAATAGTAAATGAATGAGGAACAAAACAGGTGAACCATTTGCATTTTAAGTACAATAATTTGGGTTGATTCTTATGTTTAGCAGCATTTCTTTTCCATTTTTGAATGCATTTATTGGTGACCAAGTGTCAACCTGGTTGAGTTCCAACTTGCCTTTTAAAAAAGCATTTCTTATCATACTTGGCACTATATGCAAAAACAAATCATCAAACCTTTGGCAAATATTTACCTGTGATTATTGATTTTACAAATTCATGTCAGAATGATTTTTTCCAAACTTGATAATTTCTGTTTTATCACCAGGTTTACAGAGTTCCAGAAGCAGCCACTGTATTGCTGGGGTAAAATTTATTGAAAACAAACAATCCACAACTTTATTTTATTTTAAGACCAAACACACTTTTCTTCAATAAATCCAAAAATTTAAAGATCAGATGGTGTGAAAAAATACTCTATATTTCTTTTCTTTTTTTTGTAATTTAGAAATTTAGAGATCATAGTTTGTTAGAAACACTCTATATTATTTTTTTTAAAATTTAGAAATTTAGACATCAGATTGTGCCACCAATAATTTATTAAAAATTTTTTTTTTGTATAGTGGCGGCGTGAAGTTTCCAGATCTCAGTGAGCAAGAAGGTGTGTAATAAATTGGGAGCTTTGCTTACTATCAATCATCTTGACTAGTCTTGTTATAAATGTGCCTATGAACTAAGGAGCCAGCCTTTATTCATTGCTGGGGTAGTGAGGGGGAGTTGGAAGGATTTTGGTCATGTTTTAATAAAATTCACATGATTCCCCCTAAGGCTTTGTGGCATTCCAATGATCCCCCTTGTCTATAGTCCACCCTTAATACTCTTTCACTAGCAACTGACCCTGCTCCATTTTCCTTGAAAACCATGTGATTCCCTTCCAAAAAATCCTCGGACCCTCCTCACCCTCCTGTGACAAATAATAAGTGGTCCTCAAGTACTGAAAGTGAAGAGAACTCCGACTTTTTATATCCTCTTTTTGTAGTGTATAACTTTCAGGAAAATTTAATACGGACAATGCTGCAGTTGGAGCAGACATTCTTTGACCTCGCTTCCACAAGCAAGACAGACACAATAGTGATTTGTGACCGAGGGGCTATGGATCCTTCATCTTGTAAGTCAACTGAACTGTTACCCTACAATTTTTTTAAGTTTCAGATCTCTTTCCTGGGGAAGGGAATAGAAACCTTGAAGGAGGAAGAGGAAGGAGTTCTGGGTTATGTTCAATAGTATGTGGGAACTCAACCAAAATGGAAGTGTTTAGTTCCAAGATATTTCAATTAAAATAATTAATGACTTCCAGATTGAAACAGGTTAACTGTACAAGAATTTACTTGTCACAGGGTTAGTACAGGTCCTGGAAAACCTGGAAAGTTGTGGAATTTTATTTTGACATTTTCCAGGACTGGAAAGTCCTGGAAAAAGACTTCAGGTCCTCAGGAAAGTCCTGGAAATCTGCTTATGTCAAGTGATAAAGTTTTCATAATTTATGTTATAAGAAATCTATATGGATCATGAGAAGATTTGATTTTGAAATACTGGGAAATTTGGAGGCCAAGAAAAATCAATCTGAGTCCTGGAAAAGTCCTTGAAATTTGTTTCTGAAAAAGGGTACAAACCCAGTTGTCACACTTCATCACCATGACTTCCTGAACCCTTCAAGATACTGTACTATGGCAGAAAGACAGGATAATTCACAGCCAGACCTTGGCAAGCACAAAGTATTGTTGCATATAAAGTGTGAATTATTTAAGTAAAAAAGTTGGGGAAAAAAATTAAAACTGAATTTGATGTTAAAACCATTATTAATAATGAGATTCTATATTGTAACATTTGAATAGCCTTTAGTTAATGGTTTTCTTATAACTTTGCAGATATGAGTTCAGAGCAGTGGGATAAACTTCTTGAAAATAATGGTTGGAACAATGTGTCATTACGAGATGCACGCTATGATCAAGTGATTCATTTGGTAAGGTGCACAATATTGGTGAACCCCTGTCTATGTATCTTTGTTTGAATTATTTTTTTTACTACACACTGTTCTGCAAATCCAAGCTTTTTCTGGTTAGATAGAAGATTCAAGTTTCTCAGCTGGAACTGGGATTCACTCCTGTCCTGAAAAATACCTCTTTAAACTTTTGGCATCAATGGACCTTATTATTAATTTTAAACTTTTGGTACTTCAATTCTTGTGGGATGCAGAAATCAATTAAATTTCTTGTAAGTGATTTGAAGCATGTAGTCACATTGATAAACTTTCAGATTTTAAAAAATAATATTTAATATTGATGTTTTGCAGGTATCAGCTGCTCAAGGAGCAGTAGAATTTTACACATTAGCAAACAACAAAACACGAAAGGAACCTATAGAACAAGCGAGGAAATTGGACAGACTAACACAACAGGTCCAGTTCACACCTTAATTAACATTTTACTCAAATCTGCATTGACATGAGATTCAGTCGGATTTTAATTTCTCCTTACAGTATCAGCCTTGAATCACAAATTCTGATCACAAGATTAAACAAAATAATCACCAAAGAAATAAACCCTTGATTATGGAACAAATTCTCCTTGGCAGCTCCCTAGGAAGTGCATAGAGAAGAGTATGAAGAATATACATACTGGTGTAAGGCTGTAAATGGTTAAAAGGGATTACTGCATCTGAACAATATTTGGATGGTGGGGAGTCCCCTTCAGGAAACTGCTCAACTAGACGATTGAACAACCATGACAGAAGCACTTCTGATCAACTAAAGGCTTCAAAAATATCAATATTTTATCCCCTTGTATCAATTATGAATAATAAAGTACTAGTCTAGTAACTGATCAAGTGAAAATGAATGACCCAGCTGGATTGTGGTTTGATTCAGCAGGATTAGGGTTGAGGTAAAATTGCTTAAACTATAGCAACTGAGGTGTAAATTGAAGAAGAGTAAACTTTAAGCTTATTTTTTCTTCCAAAACAGGCCTGGGTTGGTCACCCATATGTTGATGTGATTGAAAACAATATGGACTTTAGCAAAAAAGTGCGGCGGGCCATTGATGTAAGAAATTTATAGTGTACAGATTAGTCAACATTGAAAACTCATTTTTAGTAATGACTTCTTATTTATGTGTGAGAGGTGAACTAAATGTAAACAGGGTCAGTATAGGCTGTTTTTGTGAAAGAACTTTGATTTTTAGAGTTAAAAATCTCACAAAAAGTAATCCATTTTGCAGGCTGTATGTTTCAGAATGCGTATTGATACTGGAGATCGTCTGTCCCCAGAGAGTGTAAAACGCAAATTCCTTGTTACATCTCTGCCAGATGTCAAGGTAATATTATGCTCTATATATTTTTGAATTTACTCCAGGGGTTGTTGTGCTACCATCAAATAACTTCTGTAAGGAGTTGATTAAGCCTTAAATCATATTGCCCTTATTTAATCATTTTGTTTTCATTTCAGCTTGAATGGATTATTGTTTATTTCCCTGTAGGCTTTTCCTGTGTTTCAAGACTTTGATGTGGTTCATGACTACCTTTCAACCTCAAATCCAGAAAAACAAGCACGTCTGAGAAGAAGAGGACAGAATGGTAAGTTTGTCTTATGGAAAATTTCAGACCCCTGCTAAATTTTCAAAACCACTCAGCAGAGAAGATTTTCACAAAAACTTTTCTCTTTTATCCTTTTTTAAGACCCTCCCTCTCTAGGGAAGTGGTACTTTTTCAAAATTCAGGTGAGGTTTGCAGCATGCCACTTCACAGAGCATCAGCTTTCCTACAAAGAAAAATAAAGGCTTAAAATTTTCAGATCAATATCAGTATCTGGGCAACTGCCCACTTACCCCTCCCCTAACACAACATTAACCCTGACTTGTTAGGTTAGGGGAGGGGTAGGTGGGCAGTTGCCCAGATACTGATATTGATCCAAATTTCCAACCTTTCATCAGAATTTTAATAACTTCACCCTACTATCACTAAACCTGATTTCAAACAACCCCCATTCTGGAGAGTGAACAAAATCACACCTGCTATCAAACTCGGGTGTTAAAATGATGTCCAATTTTAGAGCAAAAGGTTATCTCCTTTCTTATTAATTTTTGTCAATTGTCATTCTATAGAAGGTCAAAGGTTAACCTTCAGTTAGTGGCTGAAAGTTGAAAAATCTTCCTTATCTGGAAATATGACCACAACATTAAAAATTATCATCACTCATTTGAAATTATATTTCTTTTAGGTCATTTTACATACATGCACACATTACGACAAGAAACTAACGTCAGTGGCCAAATTGTAGAAGTCAGAACAAATTTATCTTCCAGAGATTATGAGGTGTGTACATCAAGTTACAAAATTTCTTGTGCATTATTTGTTAACAGGTCCTGAATTTAAGATCTCCTTGTTTAAATAGTCCTGTCTCACTTATAGCTGTGAAAATTTATTTCTCTTCAGATATTACATTCTCAATATGATCATACTCGGCAATCTGTTTATAAGACCAGAAGATGTTTTTTGTGGAAAAACCAGTACTTTCAACTTGATATCTACAATGAGCCTTGTCATCCAAGGTAGGTTTGATTCAGTACACAAGAAAAGTCTTTGTAAAGTTCTCAGAGCTACCTTAAAACTTTAGGTTGGCAAAAACCTCCAAAACATACTTGATATTTGCTTTTCTATTATCTTTTCACTCGTAAGATTTCATTTATGTTGTAGTTCTGGTTACAGTCTGCTATACAATTCTTATGATGTTAGTTGGGAGAATTTGGTATAGGATCAACTAATAAACCTCTTGTTGATATTTTTCTTTATTCTTATAACTTGTCTGCTTGATATTTTATTGAATGTATTCTAACATTTTATTGGGTTGGCTCTACAGGTGTAAAGGGCTTCGAATCCTTGAAACTTACACCACCATAAAACAAGGTGACTTGGAGTTACCAGATTTCCTGGATATTGCCAAGGAAGTAACAGGGGACCCAAGTTACTCCATGTTCCATCTATCTTTAAAAGAATAGTCATTGTTAGACTGCATGAAAATACACACAAGTTACAACTATATTTTTCCTTGTAGTGGTCAGACAAATAACTGACAATGCAGCTACTGTTAACAGGATCATTTGAAGGAAATTAGCCCATTACTTCACTTGACCCTTAAAACCCTAACATCAGTATGCACACTCTCCATAGCATTTTCCATAAATTTCCTAAGATGCTTCTAAGGAGAATTTGTTCAACAATCAAGAGCTTTTTTAGTTGGAGATCATATCCTCTATTGTTGTGGCCTTTAAATGTGTGATTCAGGAGTGATATTGTAAGAGGAAATTACAAGATGCTAGTCACTTAAATGAGTCAAATGGTTAAAGGAAACAAATTGTGATTCCAAATAAAGTTGTTGGTGCCAATCAGATTTTAGAACCAAAGCAAGGAAAAATAAGAGAATTTAGATGAGATTCATAGATTGTTTGTGTGACATGGTAACAGTAGTTGCAGTATTTGATTGAAGGGTTTTGAAGGCAAGTACTTGGCATTGAATGCAGAGCATTTTGAATAGTGGTGGTGGTGCGTGTGTGTGTGTGTGTGTGAGTGCATGACAAAATTTGTGTTTAAAAGAATAACGCATTGTAACTGAAGACCTTCAAATTGTAATGAGAATTTTAAAGAACTGTCTCATTACTTTGGTTGATCAAAGTTATAATTATCATTTCAAGAAGAGGGCAAGTTAGGGTTTAAATCAGACTTTCCAAGCTTTGATTTTGGAGTTTTAAAACCTTTTCATTTGCACCTACAATTAATGTCTTGAATAATTTTTACTTGACACTGGATAGGTATTACTCTGACCAGAGTTGGGAGAGAGTAGATTTTTTTTTTAATTATTAGGCAACTATAGAAGAACAAATTTATGATTTTTAATATATACTGATGTATTTAATTTTTTTTAGCATAGTTTGACCTCCTTGGAGTGAGTTTAATTTTATGCAGTTAACCTCTACAATGGTAAAACAATTTATCAGTGATCGTCAATTGTGCGGCACCATTTTGTTGTCAGGGTGTGAAAATTTATGGAGGCAGTCTCTGTCAGTATTTTCTTTGAATGTAAAAAGTTTTGAATAATTTAATATGGAAACCCTTCCTGAGCCTGAAGAGGGCATTTAATTTATAGTTAGACATTTTCTTTTATGGCCACTTATTACACACTGAAGTAATTTAACTCAAGTTAACTTATTTTGAACCAGCTTGAGCAGCAAGAGCCTAGCACCTGAAAATGCTTCCCCTAACCCCAACCCACTCCCTTTCTGCTTTTGGAACTTTCAAATGTTTTGGCCAATATCAATTAATGTCAGCAGTAAATATCAATAATTAAAACTTCATGTAGGTAGTAAAAATACTGAGAATGATCTTGACATAATTGTGTCTTACAGGTGTATGTTAATTAGTCTGAACTTAGAGTGGAAATTGATGTCAAATTACTTTTGTTTTTTTTGTTGTAAGAATTTTTTTGATTCTTGAATTATTTATTATCATAATACACCAGCAAGTCTTAACATTTTGTTGTATTGATTATTCTTACTTATTTTCTGGTAATGGGATGAGAGGGAAGGACAGGGTGAAGACTTGTGATCTAAATGGTTGTGCTGAAACAGAAGAGGTCGTGTAATCAGAGAATGAAAAATGGCTTTCTCACATTTATTTTTGAGTAAGCCTGGCAAAATCACAGTCAATGACCTAAAATGATCCCAAAATGATTTTCATGAAATGCTATACCTATAGACTGTCAGAAAGGCTTTTGCTTTCAACTTCTCATATTTTCTGCCTTTCAGTTCACCTTTTATTGATTTCCATTGAAAGGTTACTTCATTCATTCCATACCCAAGTGGAAGAGCCAAGTGTCTATAAAAGGGGGTACCAGAGAATAAACTTCTGTACATAAAATTAACAACAAAAAAATCACACTCAAATCATTTAAGTGTGAAAGGCTTTATTTTGAACATGAAAATTAACAAATTCCACTGTTTTCATCTTTTCAAGTAAAAAATCTGCGGTTTCTATTCCAGGTTCCTCACAATCTGTGAAGGGGAAAATTAAATTTAATAAATACAAAGACTCTACAGATATGAGTTCTTCATTGTTTTCATAAGTTGTGATGATAACAAGATAACATAATAGTTATCCTGTTCAGTAAATTTTTAGCAATGAAAAGGAGAATTTGTCTAATAATTAAGAGTTTCTTAAGGTGGTGATGATATCGTTTATTCTCATGCCCTTAAGGTGAGATTCAGGGTGATACCGTATGGGGAAATTAGATGCTAGTCAGTCTTCAGGGTTAACCCTTTACACTCTAAAATCAGTATGCATATTCTCTGTACTGCTCTTTATACATTTCCTACAGTGTTGACAAGGAGAATTTGCTTATCAATCAAATGCCTCTTTCATTAGTGATCATTTTCTTTATTCTCACAACCTTGATTCAGGGGTGATATTGTAGGGAGAAATTGGATGCTAGTCACTCTTAAGGTTTTAAGGGTTAAAGATCAGGACACTTTTCATGCATGGTTGGTAAAACATACCTTTGTACCACTACTGCCCTGGGGCAGACAGACTCTTGTCCATGAACTTTCTCTTCACAAAACACATCCACCACTAAAAAAAAGGATTCAAAAGAGTTTTTAACAAAGTTAAAAAAAAAAAAAAAATGAGAAACCATTTGCAAGGATCTCATTCCTTGGATATTTCCCAGAACTTTCCATGATCCTCACAAGAGCCGTAACATTCCTGGCCTGGATATTCAAAGGCTTCCTAGGTTTATCACAAATTCTACCAGCCTTCTTCATGGTCATGCCTGAGAACACAAACTCTAGCTATGACCAGAAATAATGCTAAAAAGATGCACAAAACTGGCACACCTTGGATGGTTTATCTGTCTGTGGATCAAACACAGCTTCCACTAGTCTCTGGCCAAGTTCTTGTCTCAACTGTGTCAAGTATGCCCTTGTAGAATCTTAAAACAAAATAATATTTTAAAATAATATTAATTCCACATCATGCTACTCACAGAGGTAGGGAAAACATCATGGCCCCAGAAGCTGATGCTTAGAGTCAACTAAAACTGACAAGTATTTCAATGAAAAATTCATTTTTTCCACAGAGCATGGACATTGTGATGTGACAAAAGTTTGAGTCATGTTACCTGCTTCAGCTTTACTACTTGGTTTTGAGTACATAGCATTCAGTGGAAACCCACTGTCTCCTGGAATGACAAAATTAGCCATTGCTAAGGTTGTCATCTCCTTTTTACCATTTTCTTTGGAAGAGCACTGAAAAAAAAAAGTTATTTAACTAGACACATATACCTTAACGGTATTATAATTTTAAGTCCTCAAAAAAGGCTTTTTGGTGTCGAGGCTTGGCTTCATTCTAAAAAGCTTTTGAAGCCCCAGCATGCGTTAAAAATTTTAATTTACTGTCACTTATCAAAACTGCTGATCAAGTGATTTTGAATGCTAATGCAACTGACAGGAGTCCAATTCTGTCTGCAAGTAATCTAAAAGTAATCAACAAAATTGGACGACTACAAAGGTGGAGTCCAAGTTGTTAATTAGGAGTATAATTATAAACAGAATTGGACAAGAAGAAAGTCTTGTTACCAATTAATCAAAACCATGACAAAATTTGAGAAACAAACTAGCTATTGGTTGCACTCTTCCATAAAAAAAAAAGCCAACAGTGATTAAAAGCTGAGTGGTGAGGTCATAGAGAACTCTGTTTTCCTTCCATTCAAATCGGCAAAATCTAGACTTGGTTTATGAGAAGTGTCAGCATACCCTCTGAAGCTTCTTCAAACATTCTGTGATGTAAAGCGTCAGGTAAATCAAAACACGATCTGCCTCAGACTAAAGAATGAAAAAATTCAATCAATAAATTATCACAACTGTTATGTAAACCTCATTTAAGCGCTACAAAGCTGAAGGAGCCGTGTTGTTTGGCTGGTAAGCAACATTCCACTCAAGATGACCACAAAACCTTCATAATTGGTAAGCATACCTTCCAAAACCATTTACAGGCTAAAACATCAGAATATAGAGTCACTCTTTTGACTTTGTTGTCTAAAGCACATGAATGGGTGGGTTTCAGTGGCCCTGTGCCCTGAACTCAAATATTTTGGGTTGTGTCAAGTTCAAAAGACCAAACTATTAGGGCACAAAAAATTTCCTCCCCCTTCAGAGGATCTACACCTTTAATATCATTTCAGAGGCACATATCTGCATATTAAACACACACAGCCCACAATTCCTCTACTTGCTCTAACAAAGGGCCAACCTCTCAATATCAACTATAGAAAGTTTTTGCAATGGCCAATTTACATCATCAACTTAGTTGATAAAGCCAAATTATCTTGTTATACTCCTCACTGATGCAGGCACTGCAATTTCTTTAAAATCTTAACCCAAAAATCTATCTCAGTTTTGGCAATTAGGCCATAAATGAAGTAAAAACCTTATCATATGATGGTAGGATGGCATTAGGACCCTATGCAGAAGAACAAATGGAAACTTGAGTTAAACTTGGGACAATTCTCTTCTTTTTTTCTGATAGAAACACTTTCATCATGGATTCCTGTGAAGCACACGGTCAGCTGGCTCACAAAATAAATCATGAACTGTACATTTCACTTCTGATTCAATGCACTCATCTAGGTTGGTATGGAATGGATTAATTTCCTTAAACCTTTTCCTCAAAACCCACTCTGGTTGAACATACCACCGTACTTAAATAAATACCTTGATCTCATAGCTTTTGAAGAAAACGTTGGCTTTGAAATAATAGATCGCTTCTTCTATGATATCGGGATTTCCATCTGAAATAAAAAGACATTGACAATAAAATTGCATTTCTCGATCAATCCCATATAAGTTCGTCGCGAATAAAACATACACAACAAACTCAAAAATCAAAATCGCTCAAAATCATAGCATAGCTGTGATAAAAAAGATTCGTAAAATTAAATTCTTAGCAAATGTAAGAGTAGGAAAAGTTGTATGTGGTACCTCCGGGCGGAGCTGGGCCTTTGAACTTCGTGTTGATGGGAAGCAGCGCCATCTTGCACAAGGAATTAGGTGCAGATAACGACGAGTGGTACGCCTTTTAAAAGAACATGGAAAAGTTTAATACAGCCTTGGTCTTTTCAAAGCACTATCATGCATCTGCAACCATAAACAAGCTCTTACCGGCATTTTAAAACGTAGAAATAAACAGAAACAACTCTCAGCTTTGAAGAATCCAAGAGGAAGTGAACTCCTTTGACGTTTCCAAATATGGAAGTGCTATTATATTAGTTCCCAGACTATCAACCCGAGTAGTGTACGATTGCATATGCGTTTCTTTCCTATTTCGTTAAAAATTTTGGGTAATTCTAAAAAAAAAAAAGGAAAGCGGGATTAAGCTAAAGAATCGAATACTAAATGAGTAATTTTAATTGATTAGTGCCTGGAGTATGGGCGAACAATAAATAAAAATAAAGAAAGCTGCGGTTATCGAGATTTTACCACCCGACATTAGCACTACCAAATATTCCCGCCAAAATTTAGCGAGCACGCTCGCACGCGTTTCCTAAGCAGTCATACTCGTCTGTCAATTTGTTATTATTTCAGGAATTCAAACATGATTGTTTAAAAAAACGGTTCTTTTCGTCAAGCAGTAGTCCAGTACTTCATCAATTAAAGTTTTTTTTCGCGTGTCAAAATGTTTAGAAGCAGGATTTTCGGTACCCCGCCTGAACCTGTGTTCAATATGAAGACGGCATGTTTGCCACCAGAGTTACTAGAAGAAGCGTTATATGCTCTTGCTGCTGAAAACGAAAAAAGTATGAATAGCGCCAATGGCTTGCAAGGCTTTTTCAAAGGAGGGAAAAATGCAGGTAACGTAACGGATGTGGACTTTCGACTTAAGAAACTACCTACCATCGTTCCCTTTGAAGTGAATGAAAATCGCAAACTCACGTTTTATATCATTCGTGTTTTCCAGAATATGTTTTTCTCCTCTGTGAAGAAATGTGTTTACCGACTCAAACCCGCTTTTTAGCAATTGAAATTTTTGACAGGCAAGTGTTTGTTAAAATTGTCCGGAGACATGAATTTATCATTTCTCTTCAGGGTGTTAAACTTCTGAATCATCTAACCAAATCTTTTTAATTCTCTCCATAGGTTCATGGCAAAGCATGTTTGTGATCTTTATGATTTAATACGTTCAAATTCTGAGACAAACCTACAGAGAAACTGGAAAGAAGTGGAGAACAGAATAAAGACTCAGCTGCCACTTCGAGTTATGTCTTGTGTGCAGCTTGCGAGCAAACTGACTTCACATTACAAGGTATCAACGCAGAAATTATTGCAGAGACAGTATATGTGCATCATATTAAGTACAGTTTGAAGGCCTTTTCTCAAGTATCACCTTAAAAACCGCTTGATTGTCTTAACAGATAATAAAAAATATATATTGACACCACAAAACTTTTTCTTGATATCTCTAAAAGCTCTCCAAAAATATCTTAATTTTGTTTTGAAGATAATCAAAGTTCGAATCACCTGAGCCAACATTCTCACTGCTGGGAGTTGAAATCATGAAAGAGATTATCTATTTAAGTATGCTTAAATAGTAAATTGTCTTTGTCATTTTTAACACAGGCAATAACCCCTAGCAAAGGTCAGAGGTTCTTGAACTCAATTGGTCATTGTTATACACTGGGGAGTATAGTAAAGTCAGAGTTGCGGATTCTGCAGACTCTTGACTATCATATCTTAATCACAACACCCTTAACATTTCTGGAAACTATCCTTGAGATTCTTGGTAAGTAAAATAAAAATATCAAGCTGAATCAAGACTTTCAGGTTGACTGACTCAGAGACTGAGTGGCAGAATAATTGTCTGACTGAAGTACTGACCCACTTATTACATTAACCACTGACCCCTAAGAGTGACTAGCATCTAATTTCTCCTTACAATATCACTCCTGAGTCACTCAAGAATAAACTGACAGACCCACCATCTAACTGATTCAACAGCTGGTCAACCCACCCTCAGAGAAAATGTTATCATTTAACTGCAGCACCTCTGAAAAACTGTTGCATTACTCAACTAGGACACAATGACACACAAGCACAAGTAAAATTACTTCATGACGCCAGTGTTAAGCTCCTTGACATAGTCTACCTCAAGTTTGAAGAAATTTACAGCAAGTTGTGTATGGCTGCAACAGGAGAGAGTTGTGTTAAAGATGGCAGACAAAGCCTGGCAATCATAAGTAGTGATCTCATGTTGCTTGCTGTTTCAGTCATTGGGGCTGCATCCTACATTGTGAATCAGACAACAAGTGACATGGTAAATAAACCCTTTAACTCCCAAGATCTGATTGTTAATTCTCCCCTCTAACTGCTACACATTCCCTTGTAAATTAGTTATGAGAACTTGGTGCTAAATCTAGATGGCATCCTCTACCTGACAAGTTTAAATATTTAAATTACCTGTTTGCTGAGTAACTTATGGATATCATAGGAAGAAGTTTCATGTTAATCACTTCTGGGAGTTAAAGGGTTAAGAGTCTACTTGCATCAGTTGTGAGCCCCCTAATGGGAGTTGTCTTTTTTTTTCAAATATTGTCAACTGTGTTATGTTTGTATCATTTGTTTGTTGTTACTTTTGTTCATTTGTTTTGTTTAGGCCATGGAAGAGGAAGAGACAGAGAAGTTTGGTCTCTTCATTAAGTATTTGGCAAAATCCTTTACTCCTTGCACAACTCAAATATGGTTTCTATTAGTCTCATGCCCAAACACTCTTTTAGCTCATTGGATTACACATCTTTATCCGCTGAAATAATTTTGAGACCATTTTAATTAATTAACTGCATTTTTTATGCATTTATCTTGAAGACTTCAAATGAGTATTTTTATCATTCTGCAGGTAATAGAGCAACTTGGTCTTATCACTCAGATTCCAGTGGATGATGTTTTAGACTTTGCCACAATAATCATTGAGAATACATTAAAATATGAAGATGGAGATTAAACCTCATTAATTAGCCAGATTACAAAGGTGGGAGAAAGAAGAAGAAAGATACAACAAATATATTAATGAAAAATACCAAATTTAAAGTGCAAAACCATAATTTCTCAGCATAACTTTTAAGTTGACCATCAAAGCTACCAAAAAAACAATTCATTGGAGAAAATCTTTATTTATGTACACACATTCCACTTTGGTCTTATTTTAAGAACTTCCAAATATCACCTGAACTATACAGAAGGAAAATATTCTCAGGTACACTTGCATTCATTTTCAAAAGGTCATGGTACCTCTTTCAAGTCCCTTGTATTAACCAACCAAAAGCACCCCGTTGCCAAGAAATTGACTTACCAGTAAGAGTAAGGATAAGAAGTATTGTAATGATAAAAAAAAACCCTGTTGCAAAGGATAGCAGAATAATTGACTCCAAATCATAAATTGCAAATGTTCCTTTGATAAAGGTGTACAGAAGACAGTCAACCACAATGACAATTTAGATATGATGTTCCTTGTAAAACATTTTCTTCACAAAAACAACTGCAGTATTCATTTGAGGAAAGCTTAATGTAAGCTGTTTAACTTTTACTCTGGTTCTCCAATAAATAGTAACCAACATTTTCTGTCTTATCTCTTTTCTTTTTTTATCTTATAAATATCATTTCTATCTTTTTCTACAAAAGAAATTAAACTTAACTACTATAACAATGTTATTGTTCTTGTTCCTCACTGGGAGACTCAGTACGAGGTCTCTTTAGAGCTGGACAGTCAGTTCCCTAAAAGCAATGAGAGCAAACAAATTAAAAACTCAAAAGAAAATCACTTAATCAATTATTTAAAATAAATGCACTTAAAATGCAAAGGCTGATGGAGGTATTTTCTGAAACACATTCATATGTAGATACAATTGACTGTGAGCAGCACCAGAGATTTGTAAATTGAGTTGAACTTTGATAAATTCCCTTAATATGTAATGGTCTCTGGAGAAACAATACAATCAGGGAAACATCAGTCTTTTAATGTACAGATAAATCGGTTTAAGACAACAATGACAATTTGTTTATCTCAAAGAAATAACTGATTTGTTATCAGTTTTTAGAAGTGTTCCAACATTTTCCAATTTCTGGACAGAAATCGTTTCTATAATTGGATTCATCTGTAGGCAACAGTGTATTGTAAGTATTGAGACTACACACATCCTAACAAGTGTATTTATGATGCTTAAATGTCCTTACTTCCTGGTTGCTATCTTGCTCAAACATGCTTGAGATATCTGTTGTAGTTTGAGATGGTATTTGCTCAGCCTCATTAGATGGCTCATCTCCCACACCCATCAGATCTGTTACTGGTTGTAATGAGCTATCATTTGTGTTCTCAAAGTCTGTGGAGTCTTCTTCATCTGGGATCATTCCCATCCCCAGTCGATATGAAATGGTGGCACTCTCTTCACTAAGATAAACGAACAAATAACATCATGTCATAATCAAGGTGTTTAGTTGTTTAAGTTAAGTTAACTGTCATGGGATGATTGAGTCTGTTGGAATTTTTTTCCTTTTGTATTCTTCATCTTGCTGTAGGAAGGCAAGAATCTACTTTCTGATAAGAATATGGAGTTGTTTCAATGATATAGGTAGCATAAATTTGGTAAAAAAAAACAGTCACTTTAACACCAAGTTACCTTACAATGGAGGGCACAAGGTTGCTTTCATCTCCTTCATAGGTATTTTGGGTATCCCCATTACCACCATCATCATCATTGTCATCATCATTTTCCTCTTCATCAATTTCATTATCTTCATTTTCATCATCCTCATTGCTCACATAGCTATTGTCCACTTCATTGTCATCATTATTGGCATCATTCATGCTTAAGTTGCTGTCTTCATTGATATCAAAGGCACTGCAAGAGTTGTCGTCATTACCAAGACTTCCTTTGTCACTTTCCTCATAGTTAACTGCAGCAAAAAATATATCAAGCCCAAAATGTTAAATTTGTGTGATTTCCTAATGAAATATGAGTTTGAGTTGGAAAACTCCATGAATATTCACACTAGATTACAGGTAACATTGCTAAAGAAAATTACAAACTGGCTTAGTTAACCCTATAAACCCTTACATCAGTATGCATATTCTCCATACTGTTCCCTATACATTCCTTAGGTACTGATCAGGAGAATTTATTTAACAATCAGGAGCTTCTCTAGTTAGGGATCATTCCCTTTATTCTCATTATCTTGGTAAATGATTCAGCAGTATTACTTTAAGGAGGAAATAGATGTTGGTCACTCTTTGGGTTTAAAGGGTTTACAGATGATAGCAAGCATCTGACCAGCATGTTGAGGTTTTGATTTTAGTCTAGGACTTAAAACTTATAACTTAAACAGAATTCCCTCAAAGACATAATAAAGAAGGGCAGTTTAGTTTGTACCTCCTGCCTCTTCTGCTTTCAGGAGCTCCTCAGCCTGACTTGCTCGCCGTTTGATTGGACTTGTGCTTGTTGGAGGACCACTGCTCTCCCCTTGTGATGTTTTGTTACTACTCAGCTGTAAAGGATGCACTGGTTGAAACTTGGTTCTGACAGATGAATCTGTCAACAAGTCCACAGACTGCTGCTGAGATGAACTTGGGGATGATGCAGCACTGTCATTAGTTTCACCAACACTTGAGCTAACAGACTGATTGTCTCTGTCTCCCTCATCTGGTTGAAAAATTTATACCATTTTGGAATTAATTTGCAAAGAACATAAATAGGCACTTTCAAAACTTTTAATTAATTAAGTGAAAAGGCTAACCAGACAGTTGTAAACATACAAGCAAATCAATGTGAAAGAAGATCAAACAGAAAACACTGTATTTTTAATTCAACCACAACTTTATTGGAATTTTTCCAGTTACCACTCATGTTTGAACAGCAAAACACACAAACAACAGGGTTCCAATGGCAGCTACCTATCTGTAGCATTTACACAGATGCCACTGTACTCTTAACATCTAATTCACTTCAAATTTGCTCAAGTCGGTTGACTTTAAAGAACAACAATGCAACAAAAAAAAAACTAGCACTCAAAATGCAAGTATTCCTGGGTGCAAAAGTCTAGAACTTCATAACTGCCCAAGGGAGCCCTGACCATCTTGCAGGCAAGAGGCTTTTCAGGCCTTCAAAACTACAGTTATTGCCTGCCTGCGGTTCTAATCTACCCATTTTTTCACATTTTCTAATTGAAACCACAGGGCAAAAATACAATTTCATTATTCTTCCCATAACAGAGGAAAAGTAAAACTTACCAGTGTTACCATTACTTGTTGTGACATGCTTTTTCACTTTGCTTTTCTCCTGCATTACCAAATGTAGTCATAATAAAGATCCAAGTACAACAGCACTGTTTTTGTTTTTTTTTTAATTTCATAAAACAGCTTTTACACTTTGATCAAATTATATGTAGGTTTACAGAAAGAAATCTTTCTCAAATAGTTGAACTAGTTATGATCTGAACTTAACAAATATCATTTGACTAGATTTAAACGAAAACTACCCCATACCTCTTTCTTGCTCTGGTCTTGACTTACTGCAAGAGATGTTTATTTAAAAAATTAACTTTTCTAATTTTTCTCAAACCTAAATTTTTACATTGAAGACATTAAATTATTATTTCGCTTAAAACTCCTGACCACCTCCCGATCAACTTGTCAAACTTCAACTTCTATGACAAAGCTACACTACTGAATGTATATTAACTGATAGGTCAAAACCGTCAGAATATTTTTGTCTTTATGTTTTTCAAATTTACTTCATAAATGCATAAACGTGCATCCCTCGATAACAGCAGGTAACTAAGACATCCGGAAAATATTATTGATACTATTTTTAATATTTATAAACAGAGGCAGAGTTTTAAACTGGCTGTCACGAATCGGGCACGTGTACAAAACAATAGAGTTTGACAGATCAAAATTATTTCTTAACCGATGAACTTACCCGGGACCCATTTGAAAACTTTCAACGTACAGCTGCTCGGACCGACGTTAACCCATTTCTTTTCCCTGTAAACCAACAAAACAACGAGAATAACGTTAGGATCGGGTAAAATCTTTGAACTACGATCAACAGATTTTCTTGCGATTACGGCTTTTGTGTAACGAATGAATGAATTCGCCGAAAATACATAAAACGAAATAGCTGACGGCGATGCCACATTTCCGGGTTCAAGTATGTAAAGGTTTTACGATTACCATTTCCTTACGCGCTCCACCGAGAGCATAACCCGTTTGACATCATCCTTAGCTCGGCTTCGAGTTTCCAAGCGCATCACGCCGCTTCTGTTCATCATGGCGGCGATCGCTGCCAGAAGAAAATCCCGGATGATCCATATATGGAATGGGTCAAAAATTTTGCGGGACAGAATGCGGGACGGGATCATGAAAAAAGGGTTTATTTACAGCAATGATAAACAACAAAATTTCTGTAACGATGTGATTGCAACGACAAAAATCCAAACAGATATTAATTGCCAAAATCTTATTTCCCCTCCATGACTGCCAGAATGTAACAGATGATAAAAAAAAGAAACAAAAGCAAGGAAAAGAGATGTTTACATGTGAATCTAAATGAACTTGATCAGTTTTTCATACATTTGTTTGGAACAGTAAATATCATAAGATGTTAGTCTACATGCTGATTAACTTCAGGATGGTTTTTGTTTTTTGTTTTGTTTTTTTCATACTTCCTTTATTCTTCCCCGTCAACGCGATTGCAGTTTGGTGTATCTGGTTTAATGAGGTTAAATTAGCATTTTAGTAAGTTTCAAGATTACCACCGGCTTGAAGTTTTGCACTAGTTTGATCCATTTAGTCAGCTGATTAATTATTCCCGCGTGGAAAGATCTGTCGAGTAATGTAAGATAACTGGACAAAAAGATTTTGGGTAAAACTACCTCTTGATCACAGTGTCAAAAAAATCTTTGAAGTGGATGAGTCATCTCTCACCGTCCCTGTCAGTTGATGGAATCGTATCCAATGTTAAGTACTTTTCCGTAAGAAGTTTAAGACCAAGTCGTAAAGTTATACTTTTAATGGCTTCATTCTCTTCATGACACTCATCTCAAACTGCAAAGAAGATTCTCTTCCGTTCTGATGAGTGGACCATGATCGTAATTAACTTTTACAATGTAAATTCTGTGAAACTTAAAGGACAACATGATCATTCCACTCCAAAGTCCAAAACAGACTCTGGATCACCAAACATGAACTCTACTTGTTTACATAAAAAAAAACTCTCGAACTGATCAGACTGAGCCTATTCCCAGTAAACGATATCTGTGTTTACAACGTCTAATATCCATACTGGCTTTGTGCTCCTCATCATTAGCCTTGCAAGTGAACCCTCCTGCTTTGGTTCCCTCTTTCAAAAGCTCTACGCCCATAGTGATGAATGATGGCAAAAGAATAATAATTTACTGTGTGACAAGTAGCTGCCATCAGTCAAGCTGTAGGATCTAAAAATAATCTCCAATCTCTTCCACAATCAAACAGCCCCTTAGACTTTGAGCTCCGGCTGGCTTCAGCTGAATAGGTAGAGAAGAAACTTGAGCGGATGAAGTCTTTCTTTTTCTCTGCCTGCTTGTCAACTCTTATGTATTTTTCTGTCATAAAATTTAATTTAGGTTATTGGATGCAGTTTGTTTCAGGAAGGGAAAGTGAATGGCACGTGCAAAGCACTCACCGAATGACTGATCGCCTCCTTGCATCCGCCCCCTCTGTGGTCTAGTGACGTCACACTCAGAACTTCAGAGTATATAAAAACATGGCGTCACGGCTGTTTTGGCCTGGAGTGCGAGTCCATTCAAGAATTTGCTGCTTTCATTTTCCGCGTTCTTGCGTATATAAATCACTCGTTCGCTTTTACACTTCCAGCTTTATGTCAGGAGACATGAAAGACCTTAACGGAGTCGAGACGAAGGAAGAAAATATATCCAACTTCTTTCTCAATGCCCAAGAAACGAAACTCATGGAGAGTAAGTGGAAGCGAAGGTTTCTGGACACACAATATCGCTGTGATGCGATTTTCATCTTAGGCCCTATGGGAGCAGGGAAGACTACTGTTACAAATAACGAGTTTAAGACCCATCCAGGTTACAGGAATTACGCGTACGTAGACACAGACGAAATCATGGGAATGTTAAAAGGGTTTGAATCAAACAAGGTGGAGGAATATTATCCAGTCGCTCGTAAGATTGCTATTCATCTTACCGACTGGATTTTGGAGCAGAAGATCAGCTTTGTAGCAGAGGGAACATGTGTTAAGTATTTGGAGCTCATAGACTACATGAACCGCTTAAAATCGGTCGGCTATCATGTCCGCGTGAAACGCTTGCCTCGAGTTCCGCTGGACATAATTCTTGAAAGAGCTAAACGACGAAAAAATCGGTTAATTCCTGATCACGTAGTGGAATCGATTTTGGAAGGATCTAACCTTGGAATAGAAAAACTGTACGAGTTTAATAAGACAGAATCGCTGTTTGAGGATATGGACGAACAAGAGAGAAGAGAAGTTCTAAGATCAGTCGCTTCGTTAGAAATTCCATCACCAACTGCTTGAAACCTTATGTTATATAATATAGGCAACAAGCACTTCAAGTTAGGAGGGTAGCGCGTGTCTCAGTCTTCTTCATGGTTATAAGTGACCTACTAAGTTGTTGGTGATTTTATGTGAGAGTGACAGGAATATGGAATAGGACAGTAAGTTTGGCTAAAGCATCGTTTACTGTTTACAAACAATAGCGCTATAGTCAGTCACATCGAACGGACTTCAACTACAAAATCATAGTCAACCATGATACATGCAGGAAGTTTGACCTGTCAAAGGTTTTTGGACAAAAGCTATTTTCATTGGCTCATGATGTGCAGCTTAAGTCAACTATTAGTTCATTTTACAGTTGCCTGCTTGTCTGCCAAGTCTTTGAACAGGAGTGAGGCTGAGGTTGACCTTGTTATGATACAAACCTTGCTGCTTTTCAAATGCAAATTACTTTGTTGTGATGCTAACTAGATACTGGTCTCTATTACAACATGGTTACCTTCATGCCCACTCCAAATCAAAGGCTTGGCAACTAATTATTGATTCATCTAGAATTTATCATTGTCTTTATTTCATTGTCAACTGAAATATTTGATGCAGTTCCTGCATAGGCAGAGACAATTATTCCACTGGCGCAAAGCTCTTATTTTGTTATTTCATTCCTTCTGAAAAACTGAACCAAAAGAAAAATGTGGTTTATCTGAGCAACATTTTATTTTCTTAACTCTCTGTTTTGGTCAAAGTTTTCATAGTAAATAGCATTATTTAATTGTGCTCGAAACTTTCTTCCATCTTTGGTGAAAGAGATACAAATTTTTTAATTATTAAATAGCTTTGTGGTTTTGTTATGCACATGAGTATGGTATCTAAAAAAGCATTTATTTGTTATTGAAATACTGAACTTGATGTCTAAGGTATTCAGAATGTTCCTTCTTCACAACACTTTCTAAGTTTAGCATAAAAGCCTGAAAGTGGTGTAGAACCATTGCAAAAAATATTTTTGTCTTATTCAGTAATCAAGAGTTTTTACCATCAAACATGCCAAATCCAATATCAGGAAGTTCTGTTATTATGAGAATTGTATTGTCAGGTAAACAAATCATGGTTGACATTGATGAAATTCCCGATGAAAAATCCATTACAATATTCTAAGAAGAACTCAAAATAAAGGCCTACGTATATTTGTACATTTTTGAGCAATCCATTCTCTTTTTATACCAGAAGTAAAGACAATGTCCAGTTAACCTCTTTGTTGCCTTTTGTTCTCAATTCACAAGTTTTCAATTTTTGCACTTGTTAGTGATATGTTACATAAGATTGTAGATATACTCATCCTCTCATTGTTTGAAAACACAATACTAACATTTTGTTTCATAGTGTGTCACATTATTTTCTCATAATTATGGTATGCACGATAAATTGATCTTGTAATGGGTATTAATTTATTATTCTCTTTAATTCAAAGAGGTTGTGTAAGGGCATTGGATGTTCACTGAGTTAGTACATACTTTCAGAGCCAGAAACTGCAATTTAAAGGCACAGAAATCTGTTTAAAAAAAATTACAAGGTAATTATTATTGCTTAGGTTATTTATACAGACAGTCACACTGTTTGATCTAAGGAATGAAATCATATCATCTAACAAAATGAGATAATAACTTAATTAATGCTTTATGTTATCCAAATGCAACTCAACATTTTGTGGGTTGTGTATTATTTGTACCATTGTAAAATTCCTCTGGTTTTTTAACTTCTTTGTATAAAATCTTGAAATTACGTTGTGTCTGTAAAACTCAAGGACTCTTCAAGGGAAATAAATTGATACATTCAAGCACCAATGAGATAAAATCTCCAAAATTGCATTGTGGTAATTTAATTACATTTCTTGCTTCAACCCCCACAATGCAACTGTTAATGCTCTCCTCTACTTGTACATTTCCTTGTTAAGTAGATACGAGAATTTGGTGTTAGACCAAGGTAACAACTTCTGCCCGATAAGTTTGGCTATTCTCATTTCCTGTGTGCTGGATATTGAATGGATATTTCCAGGAGAAGTTGCATGTTAATCACTTCAAAAACAGTCAATGTTCCTCGGTTCCTTACATGATCATCCCTCTTCTCTGATAGTTATCATCATTATCACCCTGAATCAAACCACCAAAGGTTGGCAAAATAGTAACATGAAGGGTAAATATGAAAACATTTTCCAAAGAAACAAATAGAGCACTTGTTCAGATGTTAAGCCATGGTCACATCCTTTTTACCCCAGAAAACAATTCAGATTATTTAGTTACTGACCAGCCTCTGGTCAGAAGTATGTACATATGCTGATGCACACAAATGTGTGCTCTCCTATTACTTTCACTGATTTTTAAACTCGCTGTGAAATCCTAAATGGAATTTTATAATCGACGTATTACGAGTTTATATGTTAATGATGACATCATAATGAAATCTTGAATTCTATCTGAAGAGAAAATTAATTACAAAATTTGGACTTTTTTGTGCAATCAGCAAAGCGTCGCTTAGATATCAGCTCGTAAAATTTTGCTTCTACAACTTAGTTACAATTACCAAATTCGCAGCTAATGAGGCTAGTGTCGGACGAAGGACTGGGACCTACTGTCGCATGTGCTCTTGCTATCCCCTCCCCGTTTTGCGCCAGTCACGCAGGCTAACCAGCTCGTCACCCGATCAGCCTTCTTACTCCAACAGAGAGCCGGAAGGACCCTGATATGCTGAACGTGTACCCTTATCCCTGTGGTTCATTGTGAGGCATTTTGCGTCACAGAGCTTCGGTTAGCTATGGTGGTAGCCGTAACCCTGAAGATGATTATAGCAGCGTGCCTAATCGCAGGCAGCCCAAGCTCCAGCTGTGAGATGCTCACCTTGCGAAATAAGAGTCACGGCGAAATTACAAAAGTTTGTATGGGAATATTTACGACTGCTTTAATTAAGGAATAAGAAATACAGTCAAATTCTCAATAAAAAATACCCCACCTCACCTCCACGGTGCATCGCTTGCTATCTGACCGCTCCCTATGTTGAAAAGAACCCATTTTAGCGAGTTATCCATTCCTAGGTTTACTACGTAGAGCTTTTCTTATCTACGTAGTAAGCCTAGATATGGAAAACTCGCCAAAATGGGTTCTTTTCAACATAGCAAGCGGTCAGATAGTAAGCGATGCACTGTGGAAGTAAGGTAAGGTATTTTTATTGAGAATTTGACTGTATTTCTCATTCCTAAGAGCGGTCGTAAACATTCCCATACAAACTCCTATAATTTCGCCATAACTCCTATTTCGCAAGATGATCGTCTCTCAGCTGGAGCTTGGGCTACCTGTGGCCTAATAAGCTCCAGATTGTGTTTGTCATCAGTCAAATGTTGTTTATAAAATAACCCTTTTGATAAATATTAACAGTAACGCTAAACAAGCCTCGATCTATATAAATTGAGGTATTTTAATGATTTACTCGGTCAAAACCAAACAAGTATAAATAATATATTGCGCGCGCTAGCTGATTTTGATGTCACAAACAAAACCCAGCGAAAACTAATTTTACTCCACTTTTGCGGATCAAGATGTCGAACAATATGACTGAGGTGTGTGAAGTTTTAAAAAGGACTTTGCGGGTCGACAGGATTCCAGAGATGGATAAATACTACAAACGAGTTGAAGAGACGGAAGATCAATTTGCTGATATGGCGCGATGCGTTGGAAAATACGCCACGATTACAGAGAAGCTTGCACATAGAGGAGAAAAATTAGCTTCAGCGATAGGAATTTGCAGTTCAGACCAGGAAAGCAAAAATGCCTTCAAAAGCAATTTAGTAAACTACACCAGACATTTGTCTACTATCCAGACACAGCGGAGTGTGTTGAAAGACATTCTCAACGGAAAGATCTCAAGTGACATCACGGCTTATGAAGGGAAGTGTCTGCAAATGAAGAAAAGCGTGAAAGCGTGCGAGAATGCAGTGCGCAAAAAGAACCACAGGTTTCTTCTGCTTCAAAAGGCGAAAAATAAGACGCCTGTGGACCCTAGAAATATCAACGATGCAAACATAAAATTCGAGAAAGCTCGCTGTGAGGCAGAACGTTCATGCGAAGATGTTAAGATGGCAACGAAGCATTTTGAGGAGCAGAAGTGGAAAGACTTGCATCATATTCTTGGTGACTTCCTGCTTGCTGAGATGCGCTTCCACGCGCAAGCACTTCAGGGCTACACCGCTGCTTTTAGGTGTCTGCCCCTGTTGTCTGAAGGAGATGATGTGGATAGACCTCGCGGGAATCCTCGCGGGAACAATCGCGAGTCCTCCCGCGATAAAAGAGAAAGAAGAGTGGCGTTTTCTAGTTCTGATGATGACACCGGACTACCAGTCTCGCAAATTGACCTCAGGCGGAGGTCTGATTCAAGTGATTCGAAACTATCTATAAGAGATCTTGACTGACTTATTAAAAATTAAAATTGCTGAAATTTTTTGACAAAGAGAAGAATTAATCTAGAGAAAAACTGAAACGAGGATATCAATAAAATAATGTCATAACTGATCACCATCTACAAGAAGCCGCAAAGTTTGCGCAAATATATTCAATTTTCTTTTGCGTTGTTTTTGGTTTGATTTTTAGTGCGTTTCGTTTTTACGTGGCATTTTTTGTAGTTACATCATCACCATTGTTGCAGAGAGCTTTTCGCTTGGATTGATTTATATTTCTTTTCTCCTCCCTTATTTTACCAATCAATCTGTTGCTATTAATTATGCGCATACGCTTCCCACCTTTGACTCTACGACATTATGGAAAATTTTCAACTAGAAGTCACGTTCAAGTTAAGACTGCTAATGGTCAGATGCTTTGTCTACAACACTGATCACATCATCCAAGAAACTGTTACTGTTTTCATTATGTCCTCATCTATTCTTTGTTTGAATGCCACGGACCAGTTAAAGGAGACTTCTCTAAGCATTTCACCAGGAAATCTTTTTTCCATCTACAAGACAATGGAGAGGATTTTTTGACAAAAGGATTTTATTTTGTGCTTTTTGCTTCGGTGAAAGTCTACGGAGGACTCAGTAATAACGGATACAAAACCTAAACTAGTTCTCAATTACTGTATACAACATTATAGGTAAGATAGCGTTTACATCATGCATCATAAAAGCTTTTTAAAATCGCTCATTCATACATTGATTACAAATCAGGACACCAGCTAATCAAGGCTAGAAGGCTATGCGAGCTACCGTAACCGCAATTCTCAACAAATTCGTCGATGGTTACTTCGCAACTAACACAAATGGGACTCCTTAGCGAGTGACTGTTCAAGCAATTTGCTTTTATGACTCTATATAACCGTAACCGTAACTGTAACTGAAAAAATTAGTCTCAGAAAGAATTTCCCAGTTTCTGTCAACACCATTTACATTTAAAAAAGAGTCTTCCAATTTTTTGACCAGCGCAAGCAAGCATTCTTTTCAACCAAAAGACATATTTCGCTCTAAGAAAGCGTCGCTCTCTTTATTGAATACTGCTTTTTCTCAAGGGACGGTGCTGAAAATTGCAATACTTAAATCCAAGTTACAACTGTTTTGATCATGAAATCAAGAGATAATTTGATAAGATTGCCACTTTGAGTCGATGCCTGCTACGTAGCTTGGGAAGGCAGGAAAGGCAGTAAAACCTGTGTTGAACTTTGGTTAACCAGGACTTGATACAGAATTTTATTCCAGAACACGAATATCAGAAATCTTGAAGTTGAACATTCCACACTTGCCAAAGGTGGATATCCCAGCATTTGACACGCCGCTTTTTCGTCTTAGACTGACTCCAGCTACTGGCGTATTTGGTTGATTTACCATCCAAAAGTGTCCATCGCCACACAAAGTATTCACACCATTGAAAAGATTATCTAAGGAAACATTGAGGAGAGTAAAAGTTATGGAATATTCATTTGTCGATGCTTAATTTGGTTCATGCTGAAGTAATAGTAATTCAGCGCAACTAACTATGCTGAACTCGACAAGAATTTTGATTGGTGTGTACCAATGATCTATTATAATACACAACGTCACTCAAGTTACGTCACCCAGTGGTACCATAGTTGTAACTCTTCACATGAAACAAGTAAATAATGTGTTACTGCGTTCCAATTTAGTAATGAAGAGGGTACTTTCATGAGAAATGAAACAGAAAAATTCTGGTGCCACTTAATCGAGGCTTAAGAACGTTTTGATTAAGTTTATAGCCTGCAAACATCTGAAAGGTTTCCGGATGCATTAATTACCATTTGGGCCAAGATATTCTTCTTCCCAAAGTTCATCCAGATTAGGGTCGAATTCTGAAACACTGGGAGTGAATATATCAGAAGCCCTGTAATGATGAAAGAAAATCATGAGCTGTAACATTTTTAAAAATTTTATGCAGTCCGAGAATTTCCCGCCCTTCCCATCTACAGCATTTCATTTGGTTGATTCATAGGAGAGGAATTTCCACGTTCATTTGAAATGCAAGACATTATGGGAAAGCTCACCAGTCAGGGACGCTTCCAAAAATTGCAAAACACGTTTGAGTTTTAAAAAACATCTGCTTGTATGAGATTCGTTTCCAGTCTCCAGATACGGATATAAACACGCCGTCTGTAAGAGCCCCGTAACTTCCAACGGGACAATCGACTGGTGACTCCTGTTGAACTTCGATAACTACTCCGGATCCACCTTCGACAGTTTTCGCCGCAACAACATTACTTGTCGTCTGTACTTCCACTTCATCTACTGAAACATTTCTCCAATCTACAATTTGGTGAATAAAGCATTTAATGCATCAATCTAAGCGAAAATCAACTACTCTCATTATAAATAAAGAGTGACTGAAGTTCTTATAATGCCATAACACTTCCCATTTCTTTATTTTCCAAGTTGACTTGAACATTGCATACTTTATCGTGATATTAATCTCAGAAATTTTAATCCAGTCTTCGAAAACGGAAGCACAGAAATCAAAGTACAAATCTTTCAATAGGTGTGCCTCCTTACAATTCGCCTTTTAAACATAATAATTTACTCCATAGGGATAGCTTGCCCGCTAATCAAAATAGCCGAAAATTAATTCTCACTGAGTGCATTCGAGCATTTTCAATTGAATGTCGAAAAGTAAGCAGGATAACTTCAATTTTTCCTTAGTTCGTCATGTGATTGGCCCAGAAAACTCACGTCACCCTATCAGCCAATCAGATCGAAAACTTAACTGACCAGGCGCGACTTCAGTATTCGATGGAGCTTTCCCGCGCTTCAGGGCTGTTTGCTTGTCTTTACTTTGAGCTCGTATTACGTCCTTATGATATTTTCCTTGTTCTGATTGGCTGATATCATTAGTCTGGTTTTGGTTGCACTAGACTCAATCGAGAAGCGCTCAGAGCGACAATATGAAGTTGCAGTTCAACTTACGTCTCCCAGCAGAAGTGACCTTAACAAAGTGAACGACTCCAAATCTCTTGGAAGACAAACCAAGTTCCGGCCATTTAATGATGTCAGGAATGAAATACTTTGAACCTTCATTGTACCAATTTCCTATATTAAATTCACTTAAAACATCAAACCAAATGTTCACGCCCGAAATTCTTCCGTCAAAAGGGCTGTCATTTTCAACAGTGCCGTCAGCTTTTTGATTTTGTCCAATGATAAGTTGGGCCCACTGGGCAACACTGTACCCAACACTACCACTGGACACTGTTGAATCAAACTCTGCATTTACGATTGCTTCCATATGTGGTGAGTTCTGAGATTGGACATGAACACAGAGGAAAACCATTTGATCCGTCGGGGAACTGGAAGCAAATAGGCTGGAAGAGGTGGTCCTTTAGAAAGGAAAACAACATTATGGTTAATTATGACGCTTTGAAATCCGAAAATACTAAATAAAGAGATCCAATACTTTTTTTTATCACAGTCGATTTTCATCAGCTTTACGGTTTAGAAACCCGTAAAAAATTACTTCTCAAAGTTTATGTTATGATTAATTGCGCCTTCGTTTTCAAATATAACAGTATCGTATGTAAACTTTGACAGTGAGATGATTGATTTCTATTCATCTGTAGCTGACGAAAACTCCTTACCGATCATTTCCATACGAAAATTCGAAATTCCCTTGTCCATCGATTTGCACTCTCAGAACTTTATGGGCGCCATTCCTCTTGGTTAATACACTTATTACAGTCATCTTCTTGCCTGGTTCAACGCCTGGTATGTATATCCAGGCACAGACGGTGAAGCGATCGACCCATTTTTCTAACATATTTTGGACCACGTAGCTCGTTTCTTGCGTTTTTCTGAACACGAGCTCAAAATCATAGTCAATTTGATTGCTGGGCTCGCCTTTACCTCTGACAGTTGCTATGAATCGAAAACAAACAAATTGACGGAAAGAGTTAATTAAAATTGACGGAAATTATTAATTTGATAGCGGAGCTCAAACGCTCGCGAAGCGCGAGCCAGCGAAACCCCATACTTGTAACAAATGGCAGTAATAAAAGAGCTATTTTAGTTAGTTAATTTCTTTTGTTTCTTTTTTTTTTTTGTTTCCTAAGAATCATTTTAGCATTTTATAAAAGTCTATCTCGTTAAGATTTTATTTTTCCCATGATGGCTCAGCTAAGGTTTTGCCAGATTTAGCTCTTGTAAACGCTTGAATTATTTTTGTGGCCTTTCATATGGGTTTGAAATGGGAACGCCAAATTCAGGGAAAATTCAAAATTGAGATGAGATCAATCAAAACATTACAAGGATGTTAAAAAAAGCCATGCCCGACCACACCGAGTTGAACTAAATTAGGTAACTATTTTATGTGTAAACTCTTTCCCGAATCGTTTTCCTCTGATTCGTCATATAGGGTCCACTTCGAATGTTTGGAAAAGAAAGGATCAATTTCGAAAGGAGTGCCCGTTTGTTTTTTCAGATGACCAGTCATACCAGAGACAACTAAATATGGAGCTCAAGCGGATAAGTGATTCTTGCCATGCATGAAGTCGAAATAAATCATGGGGTCTTTCCAACAAACACCATGTTAAATCAGTAATCTCAGCTTTTAAGCGTTATCAAGTACTTACGCTTATGCTGATGCCCTGGGCTAACATAAGCTGCATGTGTATTGAGTTTTTACTGCTTTTGTGTTAGTTTCCAGTGGCTACGTGCCTTATGCTCACGACAACAGTGTGTAGCGGCTTATAATGTTTCCGACTAATTCCGCATGATTGGATGTAAAGTAATTTTTGAAGCTTGCGTTTTTGAAGAGAAAAAGTGAAGTTGAGGTTACTCACTTGAAGCTGAACAATCTATGCCTGTGAATGCATCCGTGCACCTGCATTCGTAGGTTTTGTCACAGGGCGCTTCCACGCATGTTCCACCATTTTGACATGGGTTACTGTCACAAACTAGTTAATAAAACAACACTATTTATAGAGTATATTTTTTTTTAGGATGGGAGAAAGAAAAATTTCTGCGTTTTGCATTTTTTCCGTCGCTAGCGTGGGAGAAAGATTAAGTTCTGAGTCCCTAAGAGGAATCATACCTTAGACCCTCGTAATTCCGGTCTCCATTGCTCTACCACTGAGCCACTGAGCCAGAGAGACTCAGACACGGTGAACTGAATCATTAAAAACGGGGTACATATTTTTTAACGCTACATAAAATATCAGTGGGCGAAAACTACCACTCGTGAATGATATTTCTCCTCAGTAGGAGGCAAACTATTACTCCGAAGGTCTGAACTTTACTAATGCCATAGTACTCGTTTTTGCCATAGACAGAATCACCATTGCTTTCGTGATGTTATTGATAGCATCACGAGGACCTCAATCGTCACAGAGCAAACTGGAATATCTCTTTAAGTTGTAAAAAATGGTTAGAAAGCCGGTTTGGTTCGTTGTTTTTGATAATGCCGTTAATCAAGGGGAAAAGTAATTAAGATCATTTGTTGTTTTCATAAGAAGGCAATAAGGGGACAATGAGGACTTAAGCTGTCATATTTAGATTCCACTACAACGAAGAAAATTTAAGACGGGAACAAGGGTCCCAGGTACTTTCAAATTAAGAAAAATATATATGCACCCAACTTGGGGCTCGAACCTACGACCCTGAGATTAAGAGTCTCATGAACTACCGACTGAGCTAGCCGGGCGAAAGAGTGACGGAAAGAATAGTCATGGTGGAAAGCACAAATGTTTTTTTACATATATAATTAAACGACCCTTTAAAAAAATATAGGTATAGGTTATTTTTCGCGCTAAACAGATTTCTGTTCGAGAGACTATCTATGGAAAACCTCTAGTAAAATGAATATATCCCAAAGCCAGTATCAGAAGCCTCCCTCAGGCCTCTTTCGTTTTCTCTTAGTCTTCAATGTCAAATAGTAAAAATAAAAAGAACAAATGAACGATTAAATTACAAAAGTGGGAAAATCCAATAATCACCTTCCACTGAGTTACTGCAATTAACCAGCTCTGTCTGTCCCGTGCAATTTCTATCCAGCCAGTACTTCTTGTTGATGGTGTATTTACCCTCACTTGCCTTTATTTCCCGGCAAGATATCGCTGGTAATTCAGGAATGGAACCCAGGGGAACTGCAAAGTTAAAATTGTCCATGAGAAGCAATTTCGTTGCGATGGCTCGCTCAGTGTCTTGCCACCGACTTAGAAATGTCTCATCATTTCTTTGATTACATTTTTATCATTAACTCAAGAAGGGTGGTTGTACTGGAGGGAAATACACCAAGGCACCGAAGTATATTACCTGTTATGAAAAAATAAGACTAATCACATACCTCTGCCAACAAACCGCCGCTTATAAAATCGTGCAGGGTCAGAACGGAAGTTTTCTGGTCTCGCCTCTTTGGTACGGTTATTCAATTCGCAGATTTTCTCCCCTATGACATAGTTATAGCTTTGACATGTGACTTCTCTTTCACAACTGAAGTCACACTGATGTGGGGCTGTCACTGACATCCTTTTGAAGACAAATCCATCGAGAGCCATACCAGGAATACTGATTTCTGTCCGGCATTGAGCGCCAGCCATAACGAAGGTGGTGAAAGAAGTCAAAAAGTGGAAAAAGCGATATGACCACGGCATGTTTCCTATGCATTTGAATTGAATACATTTCAGTTAAGCGAAGGTAAATCAGTATAGCAGAGGAAAGTCGCGCCACGCTCTCTTGAGCGTCTTCTTCGTTTTCTTTTTCATTGTAGATGAAATTACTTCATGCAGGATGACTGAGTAAAAAATCAGTTACAGTAAAAATTATCAATTAACAAAACTATAACTTTTTAAAAACACAGTTTTGCTATTTCAGAGTAATTCAAACCAATTATAAAGCTCGAACGGTTTCAAGTTAATGCTATCAGATGTTGGTCAAATATGTTCAGTGATAAATTATACATCGATAGAAAGACGCTACCGACAACTTTTATCTTTTCCAGTCGAGAATAGTTTTGCGAGAATATACATCAAGTCCTTCCACTCACAGAAGTAAATATAGCCCAAGAAGTTAAGTAATTGCTTTCAATAATGCGTTTTAATTTTGAATATACTTTTTTATCATCAGCCCATACAAAAACAACCTATTTGCCACCAAAAGTTATTGGTCTGATAAATACGTCTTCTCGATAAAAGGAAAGAGAGGACTAATTGAAATTTGTTTTAGCTAAGCTCGCAGGTCAATTCTGAGTAAAAAAGATTCATTGAGGAAAAGGTGTCTGGCGCCATGGATCAATGTTCCTCAATGTTACTGATCTTAAAAATTTAAAGGGAAATGAAAACATTTGGACTAAAACGCTACTATGAATTGATCCAGTGTTTTTTTAACTTAAAATTTTCTTTCTTGGTCTTTCATGACGAAATCTTGCCCAAAAAATCTAGGAAAATAGACTTGAATAGCTAGTTGAAAGCCTTTGTATCTTCCATTACTTGCAATTGTGAACGAAGTAAAAGAATGTCTGACCAAAACATGATATCCACCCTTTTGTATTTAGGACGACGGCCACATTCTAAAAATTTTACTTAACTAAAGAAAATCTCTCTTTGGTTTAAATTAGCAATTACAACAGCATTGTGATACTTATTGCCAGTTCTAAGCCGTCAAAAATGGGATAAATTATATTCCGAACTTTTCCTCACCTTCCAAGGTGGCAGAAAATTGTTTCCAGTTTTTCACAGCTTTTTTAGCTAATTCCACATGTTGCTACACATGCATTTGTTCTATCTTTCGTTGACTTATTGTAGGCAAACAGATGGAAAAATAATTTTTTTCCTCCAGATTAAACTTTCGGCCCAGCCGGCCAGGCTTTTACATTTTTTAAAAACAACAAGCATATACCTTCATTCTCATTGGTTGGTATGTTTTGATTTCCATAACTTTTATGTCCTGCATAAATGCTGGTTTAGAATAGCAGTAGAAACCGAGATGATTTCAACGGCAACCCCCCGAAACGGTATTGACTCAAGCACAATGTAGACACTGTAATTAGTTGAACTTTCTCTACAGGTTCTCACAGGAAATTGTGAGCTAATTTACTGCGCCACTTATGAAGTCAATTTCCTATGAAGTATTTATGTTGTTGATACTTGCGGAAGGCACTCTAAACCCTGACAGTATCTATTACTCAGCCAAAATTGTCAGAGAGTATAACAACAAAAACTACCGTTCTCTAAACGATTTCAAAGCTTTATTTTACTATATTCATGACGGAAACATCTTCAAAATCTGCCCTTATTATTTTTCTTTTGAAAAAATTTTGAGTCGTTTCAGTTTTTGTCTTTTTTTAAGGATGGAGAGAGCTAAATAAGCCACAGGTTCAGGACCGGTGTTGTAGTGAACAAAAAGCTTTCTCTTCCCACTCACCCCGTATGTTTCTCCTTCTCAGTTACCTCTCTCTTTAACGCCTCCCTTTGCTAGCTAGATTTCCAAAATAGAAAGAAATCACTGACAAGTCCGTAAAAAACAACCTCTTTCTACAAATGAACGGATTCCTCGTTATAAGATCGAGCACCTGCGCAAAGAAAACTCATTCTGCCACTCTTTATTGCACCCCAGGGGTCTAGAAGACAAATTAAAATGTTTTAATTCTAAGGTTTATTTTCCTCAAGATGGGCTATTAGCGAGACAAATTTTTCCAATGGAAAACATATCTGTGAAATGTATATGTCTTTTGTAATCGCAAGACAACGAAGCCGGAGGGCTTTCAGTGCAAAGATTCTTAATTGGAGAGTTTTTGTTTGGTAAAATTCCACTAGAAATTTAGCTAAAGAAAAAAAATCCTATCTATAGAATGAGATGATAAATTTTCCAACTAGAACTAGTTTTAAAACTAGTTCTCAGTGATTAGTAAATCCTTCTATGGAAGAATTTTAACGCGATTTTAAGGCATTAGTTAAAAACTTCGTTGCTGACAACGACGCTGATAAAATTAAAGCTAACTGCACCGTAAGACCTATTCGATTTCCGGCAGAACAGAAAAACCGGCAACTTAGTCAAAGATTCGCAAAACTTCCCCTTTCTGCTTCGAAAGTCAAGTTGGGGCATGACCATTTCTGCCTGCAAGACGTTTTCTGTGTCAATTTACACGTGAAAAAGCTAGCTTTAGAGCGGGGAAAATACATTTTTTGTGAAATCTTGGTCGTCTACTTGTATAGTTTGAAAATGACGACATCTACGTTCAGTCAACTATCTATGTCAGTATAAGACAAGTGCGAGAGCTCTAATTTTTTTTTCAAGGTGAACTGATTTTCAGCCGTCTAGTTCCAGTGCAAATTAGTTGTCCTAGTGCTGTTTAAACTTCCCAATTCATAGCCGGGCTCAAGTGCTAGCCAGCCAAAGGCGCTAAAAGGCAGCAACGTGTTTGGTCTCCTTCAAATTACGGTTCTCTGGGATACCATGTAACTTTCCTGTGCAGTTTGTCGCGACATCACAAACATCAGCTGCGAAGAGGACTGCAGCTTGTGTAGACCATAACAACTTATATTAAGACCAAGACTTCAATGATACAGAATTTTTACTCCAGAACACGAATATCAGAAATCCTGAACTTGAACATCCCACACTTGCCAAAGGTTGATATCCCAGCATCTGACACGCCGCTCTTTCGTCTTAGACTGACTTCAGCTACAGGTGTATTTGGTTGATTTACCATCCAAAAGTGTCCATCACCACACTGATTATTCACACCATCAAAATAATTACCTTAAAAAAACAGGGAGACAAATCTAATACCTTCTCATCGTCCTCATCATAATAATCATAGCAAACGTTTCTTGGTTTTCCGCTGTCTATATTACCGCAGGCACACAGATGACATTATAATTGTATATCGTTATCCAGAACAAATAGATGTAACGACAAGTCCTTTTAATATAAGATCAACGAAAACGTCGAAATGTGGCGAAGAATCATGAGTCATCAAAACATATGAGACATAAAGCTAGCCTCGCATTTGGTAACTTTTATAGTGCCAAAATGCTGTATTCCTTTTCTTATAGAGAAACAGAGTGAGGTCGCTATAGGTAGTCTAACTATATGAAAATTACTTATCAACCGCGATGTTTACTTTCAGATTCTTCTGTTTTATATTTTGAAAGTGCAAATTGAAACCAAACTTATATAAAGCTAATTTAAACAAAAGGCCCAAAAAGCACTTTTTTTTTACGCTATTTAACTAATTAGAGATTTTTCGTGTGCATTAATTACCTTGTGGGCTTTTCAGATTTTGTGTCCAAAGTTCATCCAGATCAAGGTCGAATTCCGTAACACCGGGAGTAAATATACCAGTGGCCCTGAAATTATGAAAGAGAACCAAGAGTTCTTACTTCTTCATTGACATTATATTTGGAGAAAAGCAAAACTTGAAAGGCCATAATGGACTAACTTTACGTAGATGGAACCAAACTCAAGAAAACAACAATTTCTGAACTTGCATAGAGCTGGATAGTTAGTTAATGGTTTCTGCCAAGATTCAGAACCAATGCAGCCCACGACATCCCCACTCTGTTATACAAGAGACCTTTTTAGATCACGGTCCATACTTATAAGGGTGATAAGAGACATTAACCGAATTTCTCACCAGTCAGGGACGCTTCCGAAAATTGCAAAGCACTTCTGAGTTTCCAAGAACGTTTGCTTGTATGCGATTCGTTTCCAGCTTCCAGATACAGATATAAACACGCCATCAACAGAAGCCAAATAACTTCCATCACTACAAGTGACTTGTGACTGACGCTCAACGTCGATTACTATTCCGGATCCACTTTCATAAGATTTCGACGCCGAAACATCATTTGTTGTTTGTACATCCACCTCACTATCCGAAACGTTACGCCAATCTTAATATAAAAACATTACCATAAATAAATGATACACCCACTGTAATCATGGTACACACCATAACGTTCGACTAGGTTTAATGATTAAAACCAGAGTTTCAACTATAGTTGTGACTTTTGTTTCATTGTTGGCTTTGGCAGATCCAAAGGAAGCATTGAGGGGACCTTCAGGCATTCGGTAAACTACAGAAGATCGGGTCCCCTACCTTCAGCCATACCCCCTCTTTTGGATAAAATTAACGTTATACTACAAACAGCGAACAAAAACGTAAAGTCGGATGAACTTACGTCTTCCACTTGAGGCGACCTTAACAAAGTGAACGTCTCCAAATCTCTTGTCGAGACTACCAAACTCCGGCCATCCTATTATGTCGGGTTTGTAATACTGATTCTTTAGACCTGAATTGTACCAATATTTGGTATTTGCTTCATTCAATCTGTTTTGCCAGATGTTCACACCCGAAATCCTTCCGTCTAATGAGCTATCGTTTTTTATAGTACCGTCAGCTTTCTGATTTTGTCCCAGTATAACTTGAGACCATCTAACGTTATGATACTCAACACTGTCGCTAGAAATAATAGATTTGAAATCTGCGTTTACGATCACATCCATATAAGGCGAGTGAGTTTGGACACGAACACAGAGGAAGACCATTTGATCCCGCGGGGAACTGGTAGCAAATACGTTGGAAAGGGTTATCCTGTGGGAAAAAAACATCAAAAAAATTTTTACTTCCAGGAAGATTGGACTGGACTGGACTGGACTGGACTGTTGGACACAGTGGAGTCTAAGTTGTTAAGGGTAGTTCTTCGAGAGAAAAAAGAGGAACCAGTACAAAATATACGAAATACCTTTCTATTATCTCCAAGAAAATCAGATATTCCCGAATTGATATGTAGCTGTATATTTCCAGGGGATTTTCTCTAAACGAACTCTACAACTTACAATTTTTTTCTACGCGTGCAACAAGTCTAGTTCCATCAGTTTTGTCGTTAACCCTTTGACTCCCAGAAGTGATTAACAAGTAACTTCTTCCTACAGTATCCACGCACTATCCAGCAAACAGGTAATGAGAATACTCAAATGTATCAGGTAGAAGTTGTTATCTTGATCTAACACCAAATTCTCGCAACTTATTTATTGAAAACCTCTTACTGATCACTCCCATATGAAAAGTATACATTCCCTTGTCCATCGATCTGCACTGTCACGGCTTTATGGCTGTCGTCATCCAGCCTGGTCAACACTTATAATGGTCATCTTCTTGTTCTGTTGTACATCTGGTGTGTGTATCCAGGCACAGACGGTGAAGTATGCAATCCACATCAGGTTCAAAGTATGCTTCACATAGTTCATTTGTTGTGTTTCTCTGAAAACCAGTTCGAAGTCATAGTCATCTTGATCTTCGGGTTCACCTTTGCCTCCTGGAGGACTTGTGATTGCTAGAAAAGATAAAACAATCACAGCTGCGGCAGACTAATTATGTGGGGAGATTTTGGTCGAATATTTTGCTACGCTTTTCAGAAATCATTTTAGCAGTTTTAAAATTTAATTTTGCCGAGATTTCATACGTCCCAAATGTGCTAGATGAAAATCTTGTAAAAGTTCTCGTAAATTGGTATATTTGTTGTTAAATCGTATCATGAATTACTGTAAAACATTATGGAATTTGATAAATTGATAAATTATTGTGATCATTGTATGTTGTATTTTTGTCGGTTCGTTTGTTTTCTCATCGCCATTTTCGCCATTGTTTTCCCACCGTCATCGTCCTCGTTATGAACATCATCATCAGAATCGCCACCGTGACGTCACAAACCAAACAAGAAGACTTCCAAAAGGTTATAGAGCATTATGGAATAGAAGAAAGGCGTCGTTACAATCAAGAAAAAGCAAAGGCTCGCTGGTGGTCCATTGATTTTCTCTTAGCCTTGAATGTCAAATGAATAGTTTAAGTATGAAGTAAAAACAGTAGAGTGTAATACAAGGGCAGAAGGACCTAGAACTCACCTCTAACTGTGTCACTACAATCAACCAACTCTGCCTGTCCCGTGAAACTGCTATCCAGCCAGTACTTGTTGCTGATGTCGTATTTGCCTTCACTCGCCTCTATTTCCCGGCAAGATATCCCTGGTATTTCAGGAATTGAACCCAAGGGAACTGAAAAATTAAGGGGTATCTTTGAGATGAAATTTCGTTGCTATGGCGATTTTTAACTGTTACAAGCAGCTTAATTAAGCTGATCACATACCTCTGCCGATAAAACGTCGGAAGTAAAACCGTGCGGGGTCAGAGCGGAAATTTTGGGGCCTCGCCTCCTTGGTACGGTTATTCAATTCGCAGATTTTCTCCCCTATGACGTAGTTATAACTTTGACATCTGATTTCTCTTTCGCAACGGACATCACACTGATGTGGGGTTGTTACGGATATAATTTCGAAGACGAAACCATCGAGAGCCATACCAGGAATACTGACTTCTGTCTTGCATTGAGCACCAGCCATCACAAAGGGGGTGAAAGAGGCCAAAAAATGTAAAAAGAGATATGTCCACGGCATCTTATCTGTGTGCTTAAATTGAATGTTCCTCTGTTAAACTCGTAGGGATAAATCAGTCCGGAACGCACAGGCGAAAACTCGCGCACGCGTCAGAAAAAGTCACGCACAAATATATGAAAGGTCACGCACACAAGCTCGAAAAGTCACTCGCACAAGAACGAAGAGTCACGCGCACAAGAGTACAAAGTCGCGCACACAAGAGTGAAGAGTCATGCGCACAAGAGTGAAGAGTCACGCACACAACAGCGATGAAACACGCACACAACAGCGATGAAACACGCACACAACAGCGAAACATCGCGCGCATACAACGCAAAGGGGCAGCTGCTCTCGCCAGTCTTGCGCATGTTCCTGTTTATTGTAGACGACATGACTGTATGCATATGTAGTAAACTGATTTTATTAGAACAACAAATCCTCTCTCCCTTACACAATTATTCTGTTTGAAGACCAGTTCGCCCTTACCTTTTGTCTCGATTGATTCCTTTTCTCGTGTAATAGAAACCTATTTTTGTCGTAGTGCTTAATGAAGAACTCATCTAGGCGGCACACCTTCAAAAACGTCAATCTTAATAACACGTTCTCTTATCTCGTAACGACATTGCACAAAATCACGACACAGAGTTGCTCAATATTATTTACGCTAAATTAAAACACTGTACGTTGATAAAAATACAGTTTTGTTAAATGAAAACAATCATTAATAAATTACGCATAAAAGAAAGACGCTAATTATACATCAAAAGAAGGACGCTATCGACCACTGGTTTTTCTCTAAATCGAGAACAGTTCTCCACAAATATTTCAAAGGTCAAACCACTTACAGAAGTAAATATCGATCAATAAGTGGAGCACTTGCTTTCAATTATACGTTTTACATTTGAATACCTTTAGCATCAACCCAGACAAAGAACGAACTCTTGTTTGCCACCGATAGATTAGAAAAGTATTGGTCACTATTGTCAGATATATCTTTCCTCTCTTTCTCGGCAAAAGGAGGGGGAAACTTGTTATAATTTTTAGCGGTTAGCTTGAGGTGTTCTGATTAATTTTTCCTTTTCAGTTTATTTTAGCAACAAACAACTGAAGGGAATCTAAAAGATTTCTAGTCAAACGCTACCAGGAATCAATCTTGTCTTTTTGGAGTGTTTCTCGGTCTTTCGTGACGAGATCTAGCCAAAACAATCGAGGAGAATAGGCTTGAATAGCAAGTTGAAACCCCTCTAGTCTATGTCACTTTTCACTGAAGTAAAAATAAGTCTGGCCAAAAACAGCTAATTCACCCTTTTGTATAAAGGACGACGGTCATGCACGTTCTAAACTGATCCTGCTAAACTAAAGGAGATCCCTCTTGGGTTTAGATCATCAAGTACAACAGAACTGTAATACCTATTGTTAATCCGACGCAATTTGAGATGAATTTTTCTCCCAGCATTTTCCACGCCTTCCAAGAAGACAGATAAGTGATTTCAGTTCTTCACAGCGTTTTTAGCCAAATCGACGCGTAGCTAAAGTGCAGCCATTTCATATTTGGTTGACGAAGCGTAGTTATAGTTATCAGGCAAACAGAACAAAAAACCCATTTTTTCTTCCTTTCTAAGTTTCGGCCCAATCGGCTTTTTACATAAAAAAAAAAACGAGAATACTACCTGCACTTTCATTGAAAAGGCAAAATGTTTCAGTTCATCTTCATACCTTTAACCTCCTGCATAAATGCCTGTTCAGAGATCGTTAACAATAGATATCAGGTTTATTTCAACGGCAACCCCCTAAGAGATATTGGCGTCCTTCTCAGTGTAGACAGTGTATGAAGGTAAACTGTATCTGCAGGTTCTATTTATTGGGTAATTTCCCTTTACTACCAATGAGGTGAGTTACCTCCTAAATTATTTACAATGTTGATACTTGCAGAAAGTACTCGAAACCCCGAAACTATCTATTACTAAGCTAAAGCTATCGGAGAATAATTTTTTTCTAAAAGACCTCAGAGCTTCACTTCGTTTTCTTCGCGAAGAAGACATCTTCCACATCAGACATCATTAATTTGTTCTGGAAATTTTTGTGAATTGTTTCATTTTCATTTGAAGACGATGCGTGCCTAATTCAGTTAAACGTTACTGTAGTGACCAAAATAGGCTTTCTCTTCCAATTAATTCTTATATTTGTCCTTTGCAGTTACCCTTCGCTACAACGCCACCTTCTGCTGGCTAGATTTTCCAAATCGAAAGAAATAGCTAACTTAATTGTAGTTGATAACATATAACTAATATATCTCTGCAACTGGACGAATTGGTTTGATGTTTTAATCGAAATAAAAATTGATCTCGAACAGGTGTTCTTGCATTGCGTAGAAAGTAGAAGCTCATAAAATACCTCGCTACATGAGCACCTGCACTGGTGAAGCGGGGAATCCCATTCGACCATCTTCTTTTGCACCTTGGGAGTCCAGAGGTTTCATGCAATTAAAACAATTTTATTCGATTCATAGCGTTTATTTTCCTTTATTGTATATTATATCTATACTGGCGAGGAAAATTTTCGTATCGCAAAGTTAGCTCAGGAAACACAATAAAATATTTGTCATTACAAGACCTCTTTACATCCATGTTTTCTCCTCTGTGTTCCTTGCTGTTCCCTGTGTGTGTGTGTGTGTGTAAACTGTTTTGTTTTTCTCAAAATTAAAAAACATAAAAAAAAGAATATTTTCTTATTTGTGACTCTTTCGTTGGTCTTGGTTCAATCAAATAAGCGGATAGGCGAATAACCGAGCGAAACAACACCCCGAAAGCGGTTAAATGTGCTTAATTCCCAGCGGATTCTAGCTCAGTGGAGAATTTTTCTTTCGAGTGCCGAGAGTAATCTGGAACGGTATTTTTCTATTTTGATTTTCTATGTAACTGGTCTGGCCAAATCTCACGCCAAATTCTCAAGCAGTTACCAAGGAATTAAAACTATAATCACGAATAGAATATATTATGCAAACAAGCAGCATTCAAGACGGCGTTGGCACCTAGTACTTGTACTTCGAGTGATAAAAAACCCTGGCACCAGTCCCTTTCGTTCCAAACTTGTCAATGATAAGGCGTCTTCTGATTG